ATGATTATCAAACGCATTTAAGTTATATATGGTCTAATGATGTGCTTCCCCAGCTTGAAAAAGGCACGCAAGAGAACAACGAGGAGAACTCTCGTAGGAATGTGTAGTGTCAACAACGTTCTAGTTGACATTGGAATCAATGAGCACCAAGAACAACGTATGTATATACTTATGTTATTAAGCAGTATTAGGTATTATTGTATATTTATAAACTATATATACTTGACATCTATTGATCACAGCATCGGTCCCAGTCCAACCCGCTCATCGTGACTTCGTTGTGACGTTTCGACACGGAACTTGACCTTCAAGGGGGAAGCCTATTTCTTTCAACGCGCGAAGCTTCCAAAATTAGAAGCCTTCAACACTACACAAACGGATTGTGTGAAACACACCGATGTCCGTTACGTTGCAACAAATGGATCATCACCTCCAGCCGGCCCGGGGGCCCGCTCAGTTTTGGCAGCCATGCCCCACCTCTTCCCGGAAAGGAGGCTCGTCGGAAGAATGATCACCTCGTCGCTGAGGATGGTCGAGACGAGAAGAGCAATGAGGACCGGCGATTTCACCAGTGATTTCACCCACCACTAGGAGCAAGAAGCTACTGGGGGCTCCTGGCCTTACTAATAGGAGCAAGGACGCTACGATCGGGGCTCCTGGCATCGCTACTAGTTCTCAGAGACTTGCTGGTCTACGAGGACCATCGCCACTGACGACCCTGCACTATCTATGAATGCTTACCCCTCTAGCCTGTATTGTTAACAAGAACTTGAGCAAACGTCTTGGAGCTGGCTTTCGTTGAACATGGTTCATGATCTATATATTTGTCAAAACACATTATGCCTGGAAAACTCTAGAAGTTAGCTGCATGGAGACCCAAGATGGTATGACAAAACAGGAATTGTTCGATGTTTCCGTTTGACACCTTTGCTTGTGAATCATCAGGATTTCAGTATCAGTGTTATCAGTGATGAAGGTGAAGATGGTGAAGTGAAGTCACCCCAGCGGGGCAAAGCTCAAACAGTGGGACTGTTGGGTGGAATCGGGTGGGATGCACCACCCCTATTCCCCCCCAACCGCACAACATCAAATGAAGTATTGGCCTGTGTGATTGAGCTAAGCTATAAAGGAGAAACAAAAGTAAACAAAAAAAGGGTATTCAAATCATGAGGTGTGCACTATGCTGGAAGATGCAGTGCGGTTGGAAAACACTCGACTATACTGGATGATGTTCGCATCGCCCATTCAAGGCCTTCATCCAATGTTCAACGACCGCCCCAGCAGCAACTCGATTGATGATCATGGAGCTTGTACAATCCCGTTGCCCTGATTTGAGTTGAGTATGGTAATCTTTTGGGCCGAAGATGATGGCAATTCATGAACCGCTCTCCTGTCGTCAGTCGCGAGCATATTCGGGCATATTTCCAAGTGGCTCCCTGACAGCTCTTCCCTGAAACAAGGCAAGGCAAATTAAATGCCATTAGACGGGCTCCGGCCAATTGCCAAAACGACCTCCCCAACAACCTCAAGGAGCTTTTTGAGACGACCACGGTCCCACCGTCGGTGATGAGAGTCATCGAGATTGGCCGTCTCGAGGGTCGTACTTTCATCCTCGCTCACATCATAGAACTCCTGATCAACGAGAAAATAAAACAGTCAAAGGAGAGCCCTGAGAGCACACGTCAAAGAAGAGAAAGCATTGAAACAGGTGATAGGAAAAAGAAAATGCACTCAGACACTGCGGGACAGTTTGGGACAGCAGCATTTCTAAAGCTTTTTGGACTTACCGACAACGCGTAAAACGGTCGTTTCTCGGTTTTTCGTTCAGCTCTATGAGGATGCTGTCCTCATCATCGCTGTAGCCCTCGACTTCCTGAACCTTCCGGAGCTTTAAGTCTATCGGGCTCCATCCAACACGTGCCAGGGTCGGAGCGGTGAAGCGATGCCACGGGAATGGACCAAAAACACGACCAAGCTCAGGCGCAGCTTTTTTGGGGGGGAGAAGGAATTTCCACGAGGTATGCGGTATGTATGTCTCCCGGATGTCCAGTTAGTTGTAAATCTCAGAACCAAGTACAGCCGGATTCTAGGATGTGGATGGATGTGGCCTGTTTGTTCCATGGATTGTTGATGCTTGTTGGGTGTGAAACGTCGGCTGGAGGCAGTTGGATGTAGATGCTTTGTAGCTGACAGGGTGCCGATGCAACAGCCAGCATTGGACCCGGGATGTGGTGTAAATGCCCCTGTCGCAGGTTCTCCTAGACATAGCCCATTCAGCCAACAAATACATGACCCTTCCGCATTCCAAACGCGTCTTGGGGCCCATGGAGCCTGGGCAGCCTATTGACAGTGTGCACCAATGGCAAAGGCGCTCACCCCTCGAAACACTCGCGACATATTGATCATGTTTTTCTGTGCCCCAAGTCACTACGATCCAAGCCTCTGAATCTGGGACCACCCCCCCGTGATCCTAGAATTACATTGGATGATGTCTTGTCCTGGTCTTCCAAACGACCACAACCACACGTCCGACGCCTCCTCCCCGCGGCCGTTCGCGCCTCTTTGGCCACAGAAATGCCTCCAAGGAACACGAAACCACAGCGCGGGAACGTCAACGGAATGAAAAGTCCGGTTCACTTTGCGGTTCCCATGAAGTAGGGAACGTGGGGCAACGCCAGTTTTGTCATCTTTGGTAGCTGCATCTAATCCAAGATGTTGCAGTGATTCTTCTCTCGCGGAAAAGATCATCTTGGGACAATTCAGGTCAAGGATTTTTGGAAGACTTTAGGAGCAAGGACGCTACTAGGGGCTCCTGGGCCGTACTACTAGTAGCAAGAAGCTACTAGTAACAACATTCCCTTGATTTCTGGGAGTCCCAGCTAAGCAGCTAAGCACCATGCAAGTCTCCGGCCGTGGGAGACTTGTAGCGTGGCCACAGGTCATGCACGTGGCGCCTACGTTGATCCCACGCCACCAGCTCCGCACCAGCTCTGCAAATCGGTCATATATTGATGTGGTGTTGAAATGACAGTGAATCTGTCCATCTGTGCACATGTTGGCACACAAGGAATACCTGGTGTTGTTGGGCTTGGTACAGTACCCGCTTGATCCAGGGTACCGACCCACGTCTGCAATCGAGCCGACTCTCTTCCAACGGCCCGTGCGGCCGGCCTGGGACGACCTGGAAGCAAACACCAAACATCCAAGTGCCTAACATTAGCTGGAATGTGATCTCTGCTTGCAGTACTTCCACGTCGCCCTACCAGTTCATCACATTGTTGAACACGTCATGAGAACACCACAACTGCTCGTTGATTTGCAGTACAATTTTCGTGACCTCGTTGCCTTTTGGTTGAACAATGTTGAGCATACATTTCAAAATAAGATACTATACGCCAAACTATACGCCTCGCTTTGCTCCATACAAACCTTCAAACAAACCCTCGTCCAACTGTCTATTCTATTGTTTGGCTCGGCATCCACGCGCACAGGCTTTGAACTTGGGTCCAAAAAGTCCTATCCTGATCATCCAATAACTGGAATCATCTTCACAGTCTTCACATCTTAGGGTAACCTCCAACAGGGTTCTAGCTGTATGCTGACCGCTGTTTTGACCTACATCATATATATATATATATATTATCATTGTATATATATATATATTAGCCTACACCCAAACAAGTGGGTAGCTAGATTGTATTTTTCTTGGTGTTTGGTTTCTCTAAATTTTAGGGAGACCCAAAAAAACTACGTACTTAAAAGGAATCAAATGCAAGACTTGAAGTCATACATCACGGTCTTATTCGACGGAGACACCCGCCAAAATCATCGAAAACACACTGCTCACACCGGGTCACCTCAGCTGGTGCTTCTTCTCGTAGCTCCTCATCCACGTGGGGCGGAGTCTGGTCAAGCCTCAGCACTCGTGACTGTCAGACTACTCAAGAGTCCGAGGAACGTGGAGGTTTCCTAGCGAACGCTTCGGCGACGGTTTCCTAAGCACAAAACCCAGAAGGCCGTTGCGATATAGAGCGATGGCGATGGGCCATCAACATTGTCCATGGCGATGACCATCAACGTTCATTCTGGTTTGCTATGATCTTTTTGACTTGGCCATACCTGCGTGACAAGGAAGTAGGTGCAAAGCCAGTGGTGGGTGCAAAAGGGAATTGTCTTCAGTGGTCCACTCTGACCTTAAGAAATCTTGAGAGTGTGATTGTCCCTCCAGCTTTCAGCATAACCTCTATAACCTGTAACTCTGTAACCTCCAACCAAAATTGCATAAGTCCCCAGTTCTCTGAAGTTTGCACTTCTACTGCTCAGCTAGGTTTCAGGTGCCGACAGTCCCCGGTGCTCTGGCGCTTCCAACGCGCTGGCCTGGCCATTTCGCCTTCATCGAGTGCATCTTTTCAGATGCCATGTGTGCGGATCCGACCCTGCCGGCCAGGATTTGAAGGTGTGACTATGATTGACTCTGTGCAAAACAAAAAAGAAGTGTCAAATAGTGTCGCTTTTGTGTGACAATCCACCCCCCCCAAAAAAAGCTGATGTGCGCGAGGTTGTTGTCTGAATCGTCCACGAATACCAGTAAATCCTGGTCCAAACGTGCACTCTAAAGCTTGGGAAGCCGTGCGATTGCTCCACAATGATTTGGTAAAAATTGGTCAAGTAGTAGGTCTTGTGGGGTCCCACTACTACAATATATACTACAATCATTGTCTTTCTGTCCACCTAGTGATGGCATCTGATCTGCAGATCATGTCTTCCCAAGCCCCAGGAAGATATATAATTAGAACAAATCACCGAGCTTTGCTCTTGTCTTTTCATCCTTCCGTCGATCTTTATCGCTCCCCTTTAGGAGTCGGAAGGAAGCGGGACAACATATCACATGTCAAGAACGGTCAAGAACATCTGCACATGTCAACAGAAGCTATTAGTAACAAGTGCATCGCTTCTAATAACAAGGGCCTTACTAGTAGTAACAAGAAGCTATTAGAAATGTCCTTTTTGCATTCTTCGAACACAGCGCCCACCCAACGCCTCATGACCCAACGCCATACCCCTCCGCCCGGATCGAAGCCGCCAGCTGCACAGCTTCACGGGTGAAACGACCGGACGACCTCGGCGACGGACTCGCCGTGCAGCCGACCTCGGCGGCCGAGCCCACGAGGTACGACAGAGCTACCATCCTCAAATCCATTTGGAACGACCGCGTCGTTCTGACACCAAACACATCAAAACACCCTTCTTTTCTGGGTCATCTATCCGCAGGCCACTCTGGTAAAGAAAATGCCCCCCCAGATCGGTACGAGGAAGGTGTATTTGAAAAGAAGCCTGATTCGGTGCGAGAATGCCCAACTGCAATCTACATGGGATTCTGCTTCGGGAGTTGGGAGTGCAGATGGTTGAAGTTCCTGTACAAATCACTCTGGCCCTGCCTCGGATCAGTCTTCTTATGTCTTCTTATCTCTTCCTGAGGTTTCTGCAAACTCTTGGTGTACAGTCACTGCATCCCACTTCCGAATGTTTTTGAGGCTTCCAGCCTCAGTTCGAGCTCCAAACCACATCTTCTTCCACAAAAGCCTGGCGATCGCGTTTCCCAAGCGAACGAGCAACACGCTCTTCTACCTGGACCTTGCGCCCAGTATGTTGACAGTTTATTAGAATTGCTAATGATGATATGGCTATATAATTGATGTACACCTATGTCCCTTCTCCAGCTTGTTCCAATGCAGATCTCTGCAGCATGCATCAGTACACATGATTTTTACAGGACTGTTTCCATCAAAGTGAGGGGGGGACAGCTTATTGTCATGTGGTAAAGTGTGGAAACACCATATTGTTCGTTTGGACGTGTATATATCATGACTGGACAAAATGATACCAACCCCCACTCCTGTGGGTGCATTCCAAGGAGCAGCAAAAATTGCTCAAATCGGCAACATCATCTGTAAATTAAATATCTTTAAGCAGTGGGTCTAAGCATCCTCCACTTGAGGCCATACGTCAAATTGAGGAAAGGGCCAGCCCTTTCTCAGGCGTGTGGAGGCACCGAGGCACCCCCTCTGTCTTACTGTAAAAAATCCAGCTGGCCTTTCGTGCGTACTTCGAGGCATCCGAATCCACACCAAGAATGGAGGGCTGTGGATTGCAAACGTTCCGCCGTGTTTCACCAGCAGTCCAGGTGGTGGTGGCAGTCCGGAAGTCAGAAACTCAGGACAGCACCTGCACTCGGCCATTGGCACGCGCAGGTAGAGGTCCTGCGCATTTTCGCGTGTCCCGGTGAAGGGAACAAGGCCTTGGACTTGGAGCTGCTAAAAGACCGCATGCTGTTGGTGGAAATCAAACAACTTGGAACATTGGTGGAAATCGGACATGTTCGCACCCGTAAACATAGACCCTGCTCGAGAGGCGATGGTTCAATCACTTTGAAACCTCCTCAACTCCATGCAAAGCAAATGTTTGAAGCCAAGCAATGGAGCCCGCACCCATGCAAAAATCAGGAAATGATCTTGCGATTTCATTGAGTTCATTGTGTCCGTGCAACTGACCTTTGTAATCTTTAGTCCCTGCATTGATTGCTTATGGTGATTATATATGATTATATATGATTGCTACACGCCTCCAACATGCGATCACTGTACCTGACTAATCTACGACCCCAGCTCACTTCAACCACCGCGGCTGCCTCACATCAAAACGGCACCAATCAAAGTCGAAATCTTCTGACAAACATTTATGACCAGCTCTGTAAGGCCGTCGGGGAGTAGCATCGATTTCCTTTGGCCTTCCATTCTGGACACCTCGACTGAGTGGGCCTTTCGGGTGAGGACACCGACGGACCCCGTCGTTCGTCACAGACCAATGGCGCCTGGGAAGTGGAGCCGCTCAATGATCACCGTGGGCACCCGGGGCTCGTCGTCCCCCGCCGTGAGATTCTCCTCTGACGTATATATGTATGTATATGTATATGTGTGTGTGTGCGAGCATAATAAAAGTAATCTCTCAATCTATCTAATCTGCTTATACTATACTACTCTGTTCTATTCTAATCTATCTATCTGTCTATCTGTCTGTCTGTCTGTGTCTATCTCTGTCTAGCTATCTATCTATCTATCTATCCATCTACCTACCTACCTACCTGGCTGGCTGGCTGGCTGGCTGGCTGGCTGTCTGTCTGTCTGTCTGTCGATCTCTCGATCTATCGATCTATCTATCTTATCTATGTGTGTAGTGTGTGATCAAAACTATATATTAATATCATATCCATATCTGTGTTTGTGTAGCTCTGACGCTGAGTTCATCACCGTCTGGAGGGGTTCAAGGGCTTTAAGACTTCTTTATTGCAAAAAGATTCCAAAAAGCATAGTGCAATCGTGCAATCCTGAGAAGTAGTGGCATGGACCGGACATGTAATGATAAATAGAATTATATAGACACTCATGGACTGTGTAGATCTTACTTGGGTTGCGTTTCCTCCACTCATCTGAACTCAGATAAATTCCAATCCAACTATGAGCACCTGGTCGACCCGCTGCCACTTCTAGCCACTTCGACTGGTGACGACTTCACCCCTGAACATGCGGAGGTGCAACATGCAACATTGAAAAGTTCAAGAGGCCGTTCTTCTGTTCATTGCTGTTCATTGCTGTTCGGATTCCATCACTCGTCACTTGTGCGCCTCTCCCGGTCCGCCCTCCTTGCGGTTGTCGAAGGGGTTCCAAGCTCTGCAGGGATAGTCTTCCACTGATGGCTCCCAGGCCTTTTCGATGGCTGTGTCCTGCACACTGGGGAGACGCCATGAGACGACCAATTCGCACCGAACGACAACGGCCAATTCGCACGCGGCGGGTCGTTCGGATCGTTCGCTCCGCGAGTCCGCAAACGGCGCCGCGCACCGTGCGCGCCACCGAACGCGGGGCTCCTTTCGCTCCCAGGAGCAGGGCGACATCTCTTCGCCTCGGCGACGCTGGAGCGAAGGTGTCACCAGGTGAGGCTGGAAACAAATAGAAACTGCAGGAAACAGTAATGTTGGCGCCTGATTAGTAAATAGGAGCCCCCCCCCCCTCCCCTCAAACAAAAAGGGAGTCCTCTATAATAAACTATCACCAAAACAAATCTGGATTCCTGGTGAGGGATCTTTTATAATTGATTGTAGTATTTAGTTTCCTTTCATAGATTGTATTCAGCTTCCTTTCTCAGGTGCTTTGTAATTGTTCTCTTGTTCTCAGTAATCCTTTTGCTTTGCAGCCTCAGATCTACAGCTCAAGAGAAGCCCCAAGCTTTCAGCTTCTTCCTCAGCTCCTCAGCTTCCATGGCTTCCTAAGTAAAGGAAGATTCCATGAACAATTTTTTCCAGTTGAAAAAACTTTTCACAATTGAGGACCCAAAAACAAATCTATTATTGAGGATCAGGTGCCTTCCTGGTCTACTACCTTGAAAATTTGTTTAGGAGCAATGTTTTATAAAGGGTTTAGTTTAATTGGGGAATTGGTGGTTTTGGTCAGCTGTCAGTTTTGAAGAAACCTAGAGAAAGCTATATCAGCTAATGAATCATAATCATTGGCCTCAGAAGGAATTCACACCCTTATTAATTGGGTTTCCAATTTAAAAATTTAGGGCCCAAAAAAGATTTAGCATTATAGAGGTACCATTTTTCAAACAGGGGGGTCTGAATAAATTTGGAAAATTTTTAGCATTATAGAGGACCTATTTACTAATCAGGACCCAACATTATATAGTTGCTGGGAACAGTGAGTTGATCGTAGAAAGAGCTTCTTAATCCCAATGTCGGGGGTCTCCAAAAGCGCGTCCTTAAAGAGTAATGCAATGATTGGGGGAGAGCATGATTTGCCACAAGACGGCAACCGGCAACATCACAAGTCGTGGCTAAGGCATGCAAAGGCCCTCCAAATCGAGTCAAACAGGCTGTGATCGATTTCAAGCTCTGAGCCAGGTCACCGGAATGACATAGCCTCTTTCGCCGCGGCGAATTCCGATTGCAGCAATAATAGTGCCTGACACCGGGTTTCTCCGTGGCACCAAGGCTTCGGGCGTCCAAGAAGTTCCCGACTCATCATTCCAAACGGGTGTCCTTCCCAAAGTCCAACCAGTTTCTATCTGTTGCATGGTTTCACCAGGTGGAACGATCTCCGTGTGGTTCCAGTGCTGGGAACAACCTCTCTATTGAAAGACAGGGAGGAGAGATGAGGAGAGCAATACAAACCGCTCCTGCCTCTGGGCATGGCCTAGCCGCGAAACCACGTGCTCGACGTTGAAATCTGCACGCAAAGGCAATGGTGAAACATGGCGACACGTGGTGGTCTTGGGTTTGCGCGGCTTGGGCCATCGCAGCACTCCAAAAAGGAGCGCTCGCACTGCTTGGGGCCTGGTTCCAGGATGCAGATTTCATGTGGCATGTGAGGGGTCCAGCAACATCGGACCCTGCCCTTGCAAGACCTTTTGAATGTTCACCTCCGCATCCAGTTTCACTTGCCCAGCTGGTGGCCAAGGGTGTGAATGTACCCATACCATCCCATACCGACAGCAGCCTGTATGTTATATATATACGTAGCTTGTGGGAGTTGGGGGGGGGCACACCACCCCTTAAAATCCCTTAAATCCAACTGGCAAGGGTCACGAATGGGTCCCAGGCATGTTGAACATATGGCCGTGAGCTGCACAGAAAAAGGCTGTGGACTTGCTCCACTCACATGGTTGCAGCATGCGATTCAATGGGGCCGTCCGAACCAACACCCCGCCCCCCAGGCAGGAGAGGGGTGAACCAAAAAATCTGGCACTGAACAGGTTCGACACCTTGTGCCCGAGGATTCGGCTCATAGCCCGGGGCCTGACCAAACTGGCAGGATGTGATGCGGGATGGAAGTGGATGGAGTTGGGAGGACTCCACACTGTTATTTGTTCGATTCTTTTGCGTCCTTTGATTGGACTCCTTTCTCTTTCTCCTTCTCTGTCTCTCTCTCTCTCTCTGTCTGTCCGTCCGTCCGTCCGTCCGTCTGCCTGCCTGCCTGGCTGTCTGTCTGTCTGTCTTTCTGTCTTTCTCTCTCGGGGTTCTACCTTGCAGGGGCCAGGATTGGAACTCCACTCGTGTATTTTGGGTGTGTTAGGGCCTGTTAGGGTTCTTGACTCCGTCTACTCAACGGGTGTGTTTGTCGTAGGGGTGTAGAAGCTAAACAAGCGAGCATGAGGTTTCTGCGGTTTCTTCCAGCAATTGTCATTCCGCATGAACGGATGAACTTGGCTTTGTTTGTCCACACTCCATCCAAGGCTGATGCCGCATTACTGTTCTAATTAGTAGAGAAGGGGCAAACCATTCTAGCGGCGCTAAAAGCACCATGTGCATCTATGATGTCCACAGAAACTGTACGTGTCCATCTGCATGTTTGTAGGCACCATGTGCACGCCTGGACATGTAAACTGTGCGGCTTGGACACACAAACTTGGTGCGCCAATGTGAGCTGATGCCCACTGCAAGACCAACTGCACCAAGATCCGAACCATCAGTACGAAATAGTACGAAGGATGTTGGCCTAAGGGCCATCCGAGCGAGGACAACACGCGGCTCTGATGCACCTGCTGAGGCTCTTCATTCTGGTGCAACAAGCTAATGAGCCTGGTGAAAGCGGAACGCGCGAAGTCAGATCATCTCAAAGAGCACACGCCCAAGAGCGGGTTTTCATGGGCTTACAGAAATCTCCATCTAACAAAATCTACCAATGGCCTACGCGCTTGCGGCATCTGTTGAAATGCCGAGCACCTCCACCTGAATGACCCGTGGCCTTCCGGCCTCCCATTGGCTTCCCATTGGCGTCCCACGCCTCTTGATGAGCTCCAGCGACATGGGCTCCAAGGCTAAAACCCAGCGCTCCATGCGATTGAACTTGGGGTTTAAACCTTCCCAGCCGCATGGCGCGGTCGTCGGACGAGGGGAACCGGCAGAAGGGAAGGGCAGAAGGTCGAGCGGTTTTGGAACAGCACCAGCGTTGACGGTTGATATAAGGCCCATGGAATAAGGCCCATAGGCCCATAGTGCTTATATAAGGCCCAAGCCCCCACGCCTTATATATACAGTATAAAATATATTGGTATTGCAACGGTATGATATAAAATCATATACAGCACAATGATCACAATGTATGACATATATGATCATTTATGGACTCTTTCGGATCTTTTTGGACTGCTGCTGGATATGGAAATGCCCCCCATGACACCATCGAACGGACACTCCGGCCGATCTCCCCCAATCTCCCTCTGACTGTGAAAATTGTAGCCTGACCGCGACTGCAAGCATTGCCAAGGGGCGTTGCTTGGTAAGAAGCCAACTTGCGGCATCAGTGAAGCTGTTGCAGTTTTTCCTGCAACGCCAAGCTGGCCATTTTGGACCCCTCCGTGTGAAATCTTGTGGAAGCCACCTATCCGCTCCAGGTGGAGCTGGTAGAAGATAAGAACCGCATGAATCGAGCAAACCATTCCAAATGGAGAAGAAGTTCATTTGAGGCAAAACTCGTGAGGACAAATCAATTGCCCGACGTTTATAAGGTTATTTCTAGTTACTAGTTGTCTCCTAATTCCATGAGGACGATGTTGACTGTTGACTGATGTCTGAATGATGAGTGAATGCCGCGGCCAAAATTGAGCCTGACTGCAGTCGCACTTGTTGGCCCTTGCTGAGGTGCGTGCAAACGGCCCAGTGGTCCTTAAAACGTCGTAGGTGCCTTCCTCAAACCAAGGATCCAAAATGCTTGCGGCATGTGCTGCATCCAACCTCATTCCAACGGATGAGTGCAAGGCCAACCGGGGGGACTCTTTACCGTGTCTCGGTCTGGATTTTCGAAACGATAGGAACGTAGTGCAGTTCCCCCCCACCGTCACCCCAACGAAGTCTCTCCGCAGCCCTTACCGCCAAGGAACTCGCTTTTGCCCAAATCCACCACCTCAATCTGCTTGTGCCTGTGAAGTTTGGGACTTCTCCAGATTCCCCCCAGGTAGTAGCAAGCGACTTTGGCAAAGAGACGACAGAAAACATCAGGAGTTCTGCCAATCGACTCTGTGAGGCGGACTGAACATCCCCAGACGCTGCACCCATGAGCAAATGGAACAATGCTTCAGGGACTGCAGCAGGATGCAGGCAACGTTATGGTAAAGCTAAAGAGCATTCAAAGCTTTAAGACCCATTTGGCCAGGGCTGAACCAAAGGCAGCACAAAAAAGACACAAGTCTGCCTGCCATCCGTGCCTCTCTCCCCGACACCAGTCATCAGGCCTGTTCGGCCGTGTGGTCCGGATGGCACTCTGGCACCAGTCGTGGCTCCAGAAGGCATCGGCCTCCACCTCAGCTGTCCGCCATGTTCGCCGAGTCGGCTGAGCGTGAAACAAGCCCTGTGCCGCCTCGAGTGCGCCAAGAAATAGATGTGTCAAATTAATACATTGCGGTCCTTAAGGGAGTTCATTTTACAAACAAGCCCACATGAGGGATCTTTTCACCACGCCTGTCCAGCAAAAGGTTCTTCCAGGCTTTCCACATAACAGGAGGATGTGCATAAACTCTCCCTCCAACGAACATGGAGGTGAAACATGCACTGTGTGCAAAGCAAAGTTGATGAAAGTATATATTCCACATTATTCCACGAGTGTTGAAGGGAGCCCCCCATTGAAAACAGCCAGATCAAACTTGAGCAAACTCACTGGGTGTCAGGTCTATGTTGCCTGCACGGAAAACAGCCTGCTCGGTCCTACTCTGAGGCCTTTTGGTTTTGCCCTCTTTCATCTTCGTTTCCAAAAGGCGTCATCTGTTTTCAATCCCGCCCATGACGCGTGACTTCCTGAACTGAACATCTCCCCAGTCTCTCTCTCTCTCTCTCGCGGTCATGACTCGTCGAGATGTGAACAATATGTGTGATCACCACCTATGCCTCACCAGTCCAGCTGCTATCCCAGCTCCATCGAAAAAGAGCTCCCGCTCGCCGACGATGATGGAGGTATGGTAGGCAGTGAAACCCAAAGCCTGCTTGGGCGATCCCCCCCCACATCAAGGACGATCGCCATCTCCTCTGGATTAAGAACACGCCAGGGTTTGGAAGACCTAGTGACTAGTGGTTTCAGGTTTCCACGTGTGCCACCAAAGAAAAACATTCCTCTGTCATCATCTGCGACAGGAACACCGCAAAGGATTGCAGGCGCCTCCCATCCCCCGTGGACCCCAGCAGTGTGCCTTGAACAAAGGCGTTGCGGCCAGCTGCACCGCATGATGACCCTCCACGCCCTCTGTCGGGAGCCGGTCCCTGCAACGAGGAGCTTTCAAGTCGGATCTCATCCGTTCATATCCGTTCCCTGTGGTTCAGTCGGCGGTCGGTGGGTCATGAAAGGTCCTTCTTGATGACAATCACTGTTGGGGTGGCCGTGCGCACCAAGACACCAAGTCTCTCTTTGTGACCTGTGATGAGAATCCTTCCTCCTTAACCTCCGCAGAACAACTGGTTTAGTCACGAGTTTAGTCGTGGGTCTGTCGATTTGAAGGATGTCTCACTGAGTCGGTCAGTTCTAAATTTCCAGGGGGAAGGGACAACGCACACAAGTAGCCCGGCAGACTTGGGCCTCTGTTCCCCACACTCTGCGGAACAAAAACAACCAAGAACCACAAGTGCTGACTTCCGGCACGCTCCCTTTGAGCACAAAAAAGGCAGGTGGTCAGCCAATTGCGGCTTCTGCGTGAAACATCCGTGTGCGAGGTGTGCACGGCTTATCGGGGGAAGATTGGCAGAAGACTGAGTGGCTTTGGACTAGTCGGGCCATAATATGCTATCTGCCCCTCACAACAAATATCAATTGCCTATGAGTGGAGCTGGCGAATGACATGATGCTAAATATTCTGGGATGTGTGCAAGCTAACTCTCGCAAACCCTCTCTTGTAAACGACACCTTCTTCGGCTGGCAATCTTAAAAGCAACGTGGGAATCTGAAAGGCAGGTCCAGTAAAATGGATCAGAATTGAGACTAATTCCAAGTCAAAGCATGTCATGGCCGCCATGGCCTCAAGTTGAGCACACCTCGCTGCTCACCCCAAACTCTTCAGTTCTTCAGTCCGGGCCATGCAAAAGAAACGTCTACACGCGAGTTCTGTGCTTCCCAGGGTCGCTTCTATTGTCGATCAGCCAGCCAGTTTGGAGTTGATAAACACAAACAACCCCGTCACAACAAGGGGAACTAACACGTAGTCCGTGCACCTGGAAAGGTCCGTTTCAATGTCCCCTGGCTATTATGCAGCGCCTGAGTATCGCAAAATGCCCGGTTCGAATTTGAAGCCTGCAGCGGCAGCGCCTGCCCTACTCAGAGCTCCTCCTGCATGACAGCGTAGAAATCATCCGGGCTGATGCTGGCAGGGACTGGGGGCTCTTTTGCACTGCTGTCCTTTCTCTTGTTCCTCAGTGGGCGACATCTGAAGCTGTCTGAAGCTTGGATTCTTCGAAGAGCAGGGAAACCCATCCAATTGGATTCTTCTCAGGTCGCTGGTGCTCTGCTAATTAGTTGAGTAGTTATCCTTAGTGATCCTTAGGCGGGGCCTTCGGTTTCCATAAGCATCAATGAGGGGCGGGATGGTTCATGTTGCACGTGGCACGTAAGCCTCGAAAAAAGAGCCACCGTCATACCAAGCTCCCGAAACCACGTTCCGAACGCAAGAATGAAACCTCTGCCTAGCGTCCTGTTGTATTCCTGCAAGTCTTTCTGGTACTTCCTGTTGAAAAGCTTCACCATGTCCTTCGACTGGGTCCGCTTGTGTTGGGGCTTGTGTTCGACCAGCCAATAGTAGGCGTCACGATGTGATTGATCCGGGAAGAAGTCAAACCGTGAAACACTGCGTACTTAAGCTAGGAAAGGAACATTCATGCTTTTGCTATAGTAGATTGCAGAAAAAAAGATTGTGTGAGAAGTGAGAAGTTGTCCGTAGTATGAATCCCATCCTGATAAATAAATATGATAAACTGATTGATCTATGTTGATCTACTTTGCACAGGAATGACGCGCGCAAATACTTGACCAAACAGTGGCCTTGGCATTTGGGCCCTTCGATTCCCAACCGTGGCCAGCATTTCATGCAACGGGCACCATGCAACGGGCACCTCGCCTCTTCAGGCGATTCTAGCTAGTGGCTATGGAATATTGAACACGAATCATCCATCTAGCTAGTCTGTACCAATCAATCTCTTTACTCTTGATCATCCATCACACGATGTCCCAGGCAGCTTGTCCTTAATCTCGGACTTGGGGAGGCTTTCCCCCAACATCGTCGCCACCTCGTGTAGCTCATCCACGTCCAAGTGCCCATCCCCGTTCTTGTCCATGCGCCGAAAGACCTGGAGAACTGACCGAGTACCGGACGGATGAAGAGGACGAGGTGAGATTCGAGGAAACAAAAAAAAACTACGGAAATCTATAGAAAGCATTAGGAAGCTATTCGTTCCAAGTTCCAAATGGATTTTTTGTATGGGTGAGTCGGGAGTCGGTCCATTTCTCTGCCATCATCTTAATACAACTATTTTGCATTCTTGGAGTTCTTAGGCTGAAGGGACGCTCAGGAACGGGGTATATAATATAGTGAGTGAGTTCGTTAAGTTGCAGCTGAGAACTACACACAACAAAAAGAAAGAAATGCCAAAACAAAAAGGGCACCAATTCCAGCACGAGATGCGGCCATGATCTCTTCTTTGGGGTCATCCTTCTCAAACTTCTGGGAAAGGAGCTGGTAGAACTCTTGCGGCGAGATCATATAGTCCAAATCCTTGTCAACATTGGACATGATCCTGCACGCCATGGTTTCAGACTTTCAGCCCATTTTGATGCGGCACAGCACTCGGCCGACAACCCCTAGCAAAGCGTAGAGCATGAGTATGAAAACGTGCATAAACGTGCTTAAATTGCTAAAGGCTAAAGGCACATCCCAATTTGACCGTCTGTGCAGCAAAATGCCTGAAAATGCCTTGACCGAACTCCTAAAACACCACATGGCCCGGCCTGCTGATCGCGCTTTCAAGAAAGCTGGCCTCCACGTTGAAAAGCTTGAACATGCCCTTCAGCTCCTCAATGTCTACTTGCCCCGAGTTGTCCTTGTCAACAATGCTGAAGACCTTGTCGATCAAGCGTCGCTCTTCTTGCAAAACGCCGCCCGCGCCAGTGTTGAAGAGCCGGGAGTGTTTTCCTTGGAACAAAACATCCAGGAAGAGCTGACTGGACAAATGCCCAATCCAGAATTACGTTCCAGCTCACCAAACAAGGAAAAACATGCTTGCCTTGAACTCACCCATCCAACACCAACTACTCTCATGTCTTCTCGACACCTTCCGGCGCTCCCGTCTCAGTCTGTGGCCGCTGGACTTCAATTTTTTGCCGAGCTGCCGCTGCCGATGTTGGACAAATCCGTGGTGAACGACACTCCTGCCGCGGCTTCCTGTTTGGCCATCATCTTGCCGAAAGATTCTTCGATCTGATCGGCGTTTCGGGTGATGTGTCGCCGTGAGTTACGGCCAAGATTTGAGCCTATCTATCGACAGCGGCGGGTGCGGCAAGTGTAAAAGCAACACAAACATTAAAAGCAGGTGCCGGCTGATAATTGCGATTGTTGCAACAAATGAGGATTCACTCAAGTGGCCAGCGTGCAGTCCTGTTCAAAATTAAGTGCAACATGTGCCACATCATAAGAAACAATTGCAAAGAATAAGCACAAGTTTGATGTGTGAAGAGCTTGTACATGCAGCCAGCACGTCAACGCCACTGATCCTCCATTGAGCAACTCACTTGGTAACCAGCCCTATGCAGGTCATGGCCTTAAACCCTACAAAGGCTACTCTCAACATGTGGTCATTGCTATATTCCTTGGGAACACCGTGCGGTTGCACGTGGCATTTGTGGTGGAAACGAATCGAGGCCTTACAACACAACGGGATACAACGGGCACGTCTCCCAGCGCACCGTGGCTCGCAACAGAGCGCCGGGCGATAAGAAGCCATCTGCCCCATGGCCAGAGCTGGGGCAGCTTCGGCTGCAAAAGAAAAGGCAGGATTAGTTTAGTCTCTTTTTTGTTGGCAGAAGGTCAGACGTACGCGCAAAGGCGTACGCATTTCGAGCTAAAAACCAAAGCTGCGAGCCTAGGAGCTCATTTTTTGACGACCTGTCCAATAGACTGATCTTGAGGAGGATAGTTAACATACAAAGTAAAAAGGCTAATCCGAACTGCGACCCTAAGTAAGTCTGGATTAGCCTACTCATGAGTACTGAATCTGCAGATGTGACCCGAACAAAGGGGCCTCGCCACTGCAAACTGGCGGCAATCAGAACCATACAAACTTATTGCTGGAGTTCCTGTGCTCCTGCCATTACAGTGTATAGGTCATGCTCAGACTCTGATCTTTTATTAATTATGCAACCATGCTCGATGCTTAATTCGGCATCAGAAAGTGTCAACCGCATTGGTGTCAAGTTGCGCGGGCGATTTCGTCAAGTCCAGCAACCACGAGCAACACTTGTTGGAGCAATCTGAATGACATGGAGCAGTTCTTCAAGACCCTTCAGCTGAAACCACCCCAACCGGAGCGACATGGACAGCCAATTACCCATTCACATGAAACCACTCCATCGCAGTTGGCGTCTAAACGTGCGCCACTGTCAGCATTTGGGGGTCCATCAAAACGACAAACACCCAAGACACACATATCAATGCATCTGAGTTTAGATTGGCATGCATGACGTTCTGGTGTAGCTACAACCGTTGCCGCTTCCAAACACCCAACGCAAACAAGCAACTTAAAACATCTTGAAACTATAACTCACTCTCAGCTCTGAACTTAAACTTAAACTGAAAAATAGAGACGGCAGCAAAAGGCAGCATGGATAAAGTAGCAACAAAAAAAGAACACGTTGCAACAGTGCCGAATCACCTGGATTGGCAGCTTTGTTCCCAATGGAGGTCAATATGGAAAATGTTCAACAGGCGAGCCCGCAAAAATTGCACAAGATTCCTCTACAGTTCCTCTACGTTCCCCCCCTGGCGTTCCCAGAGTCTATAAATCCAAGTGACTCTGGCTGCGGCAGCTCCTGGACCAGGTTCCACTTGCCAGGCGAAAATGATTGACATATATTGACATGGTAAGGACTATGACAATAACGATTGATGTCTGTTTCACCTGACCTGTGAATTTGAAGCGGAATCTGCTCCCACAAACTGTCAACTGGCCCTATGCACGACAGATGGACAAGGTCTTTCATCCTGAGTGTGCAGCTGAGCAGCTACAACACGGTGAGCTGTCTGGTGAATGTTCGTTGTGCTGTTCATGACTCCGAGAATGGTGCAAGATTCTGTCCAAGGCAGGCTTGCGTCTTGTGATGGTTGACCCCAAGCGATCAGCATGCGATAAATTCACCAAGGACCGGGGGAGAGAAGTTGGCCAAACCAAACTGCCCTGCATGAGGGATCATCTATGCGTCGGCCCTCTTTCACCCCATGGTTCCGCCCTCTTTATCTGCCATCCCATAACTGCCCGCGATCAATCATTCCAAAATATCCCTCTCAAACACCACCCTGTGCTCATCGTGTGACGACCTAGGTGAAAAAGCACAGATTCCAGAATCAGCCTCGAGAAGCATTAAACCATATTGAACCCTCTCCATCCAGTTTTTCTGTCGGGTAGGGTGGATTTGACATGGCCATCGTTTCCCGACTCTCTCAGCCTCAAAACGCTCAAACCGACCGTCTCAAAACGCTCCTCTCAACGCTCCCGGCTGGACGGTCGATCCGGTCTTTGGTCTCATGTCCCGACGGTCTTTTTGACGGTTTTGAGGCTCATGTCATCTTCAATTGTTCTTGGAGGTGCGCTGGCTGGAAATCAGCGCGTCCGCTGGAGACTGCGTTTGTGACTCCTGGGGAGTACGACAGCCCGTGTGTGACGCGACGCAGAGTCATGAATGGGTCGAAACACAGGGAATGCGAAGCTCTCGCCTATCCTATGTCTCAATTGTCTGAAAGCTTCGCATTGTGCTACAAATGATGCGTTTGTGCTTCCCAGGCCTCTTCCCGCTCTTCGGAGTAGTCGACTTGTTCCGAAATACCTTCGGCTTCGGAAGCAAAGGCTGCACCCTTGTGAGGGGCAAGGTCCATGTACCTTTGCTGGCTGGATCCGGCACCACAAGCGCAAAAGCTGTTTGATCAAACAGACCGTGACCTGCCCAATCCAAAGACAACGAGGGAACTCTTTGAAACGGATGCATCCAGTGATCGTCGGAAAAAATAAATCAACATGAGCATCCAAACATGTTAATATAAAACCTGAAGCTTCGACCAGCTGGCTGAGAGAAGATCACCGACAGAAGCACGATGCTCAGCATGCCCGCGATCTCCGCGGTGTCTGAAATTTGCACTTCATTGCGAAGAAGTAACAAGGCACCAAAGAAAATCAACAGAATGCTAATGCCCGAACGGACCAACTGGAAGTTCTTGAAGAGTTGACTCACCTGCTTGGGCGCTCACAAACCAAGCCCTCTTGGTTGGTACAACATCTGCTATCAACAGTGTGGCTTACTTAGTCCTGTCGCCCTTCGGGTTTCTCATCTACATAACATACAATACATCCAACAGATTGAACATCCCAACAACCAGGCATACGGCATACTGGGATAGACGACTTCTGTAGGTGTCAGGAAAGACTTCCCGTAAAAATGCCGCCAATGCTGGTGGAAATTCATTCATCTAAAATTATGCGAATGACATGCTGAGCCCAAAGGCTCTTAAGCATACAGCCGAGCCTTGAAGCCAACCCACCATCTCGCCACCTCTCCCCTTACCCATCCCGGCCCTCTCTGGATCCAAAAAACACCAGGTAACCAGGAAATAGAGGTCTGACAAGGCAAAGGCCACGAAGACCGAGCTGGTCCAGCCAATGAAGTTACTGGGGATGTCTTCAATCTTGGCCAAGGTCACATCCAGCTCCAACAAGAACATTGCCACAATCAGGCCTCGTTCCATCGGGATCAAGTCACCAAGGTGTCAGAACGACCATATGAGCGGTGATGAGCGGTGCTGATGTCACGCAGGGTCGAGAAACTAAACTGAAAATATACTTAAAGTAACTCTAGAAATCCTTCGTTTATGTAAATAAAAAAACTGATCAAAAGAATTGTGTTGAGACCCCCTTTGATAAGGGCCCCTTTAATAAAGGAGCTTTATACAAGGGACCCATTCCTTGCCTGTCCTCTCTTTCTACATAAGCTTCAGGGCGTTCAATTCGGCCAGGTGGCAAAGAAGCACCGGAGCCTGCATGGAGAAACGAAGCTCTCCACGTGCAGTTCGGTAAGAAAAGCCATCTCCTGAGTCGGTCCCAGGCAGTGGTTCGCCATGTTCGATGAAGAGCGGAAACAGCAAGACTGATGAATTGGACCTCCCTTGCGTATCGCCTCGATTAGGGGGGCAATGGTCGATTTCATCCAATGCAAGCGAGGGGAGGATCTGGCTGGTTCTCTGTTGCTTCCCTTCCAAAACTTTAACACTTCTGCTTTCATCTCTTTTCTGTCACCCTTGCATGGCCCAGCCAGCGAGTCGCCGTAGTGTGGCTCCAGCCGACTGCCAAAGACCCAGCGCAGGGCACGGTAGAAGCCAGAGGTCTCAGGGTCGAAATTGCTCTCCTGCATCGCTGATGTTTCCACCACCATATGATGTACCCAAGAGTTCATGACGATGGCGTGGAGGGGGAGGTGTTGTGTGGCTGCTGGTCCCTAAACCGTCGCACAGTCGCCGTTTGGGTGGGGACTTCTGTCCAAGTGGGCTTGCTGTTGGATTGGGGGGGCATCCAAACACAACGGCACATGATCCACACCCGCAGATCTACTAAAAGTAGAGACATTAATATCAATGAATATCATGTGTCGACTCGAAATGCCTTGAAATTGGAGCTCGTTAGACTGGTTTTTATATCCATATGTATATATATATATATATAAGTAGCACATTTCCAGGAGATCCCCGTTCGATTTCGCACGAAGCACCCGGACTGTCAATTCTTTAGGAACCCCCAGGTTCAGGGTCCAGAAGTGGCACTAAATAATGAAGGACATTCTCTGAATAATCAATAGCCAGAATGCCTCTGCTTGAAGGAAAAGGCTTGGAGACTTGAATTGGAGACTTGGAGACAGCCCGGGTTCGAGTGGAACAAAGTCGACTCATGCATGTGTTTCTTCATGACTTGCAGAAAATGTTTCTTCATGCTCTCTGCATCTGAGGGTTGAGCCCGTGCTTGGATTTGCAAATCTGGCTTTGCAAAGACTCTTTCCTTTAAAAAATCAGCACCAATCTCGAGGCATTGCTCGACAACCAAATTCTCTAATAAATCAATCACCTCTTGCCCTTATAGAAAATGGGAACCCCCAGGTTCCAGTTGTAGACTGGCACTGTATGTTTTCATCCATTCTCATTTTTTTTATGACAACCCGGGTTGTCTGCTTTTTTAGAGGAAATTCGCACAGGATTCCAGGAGTATGTATATAGTTGCGGGTTGATTGAACATATGAAGGGGGGGGCCCTTCTCCAAAAAGTGGAACATTCAAGCGTGAAAGTCACTGCTAAAACATATGGCATTATGACAAATAGCCCAAACACCCAAAACTTAGCGCCAGCCGCCAGCGAGCCCTTGGGCCCTTGAACGAACAACAACTGTTCAGAAGCGATCAGCCAATTTGTACGAACTCAACTCAACGTCTGCCCTTTGGTTTCAACATGTTTCAGTCCATCTATGTCCATCTGAAGAACCTGTATCGAAACAAAGAACAGAATTGGCCGAGACCGTTTGAGCCTTTCACATCCCACGGTCACCCTGGCCCCGGCCCGGTGGTCTGACCGGCCGCCCACGTCCTCATCCGATTCTCTCAGAGAGTCGATGCCCAAGTAAATCAGCCAAGCTCCTGAGGAGCAGAAAACTCAAAACAAAGAACTGATATGGTGAGGTCTGGGGCCTGGGGGCGTTTCCTAAAACACATGATATGGCACCAGAAATGTAGAGAGAAGCCTGACCCGACTGGTGAGGTCAATTGTGTTTGAACTTGTTGGATCTACTTGAGGGTGATTCGGGCAGTGTTGAGAGGTTTGGGGGACGATCAAGGGAGACACTCTGACATACTCTGACTCAGAACGACGAATTCGGCCCTCAGAACGGATGATGGCAGTCTGTGGCAAGCGAAATCATCCAGCTCTCGAGCGCGGAATGGGACGTGTTTCCGAAATCATCCAAATACATCAAATACAAAGTATTCTTGGCAACTCATGTAGCACCAACGAGGTATGGCAAGCTCTCGATTTGCTTCAGTGCTTTCGCCATGAACATGAAAAGCCAAAGCTGAAAGAACATCTGGAAAAAGGAGACGATGAAGAGCATGTCCCGTGCCACTTTCCGCGGCACACGGAAAGACACCAAGATCATCTCGTAGATGAACACCTCACAGCAGTCAAAGGTGCACGGCTTGATGAATAGACAGTCCAAGCTTTTGTCATGACACGGCCGCTTTGGTTCTCTCTCACTCTCTCTCTCTCTCTCTTGACTGCTGAGACGCGTTTTCAAAGGTCAAAGCCAGCTCGGTCAAGTATCCGGAGATAAATTCTCCCATGGCTTCAGATCCTTCTTGTGCACCAACGGTGCCCATAAATACCTTGCCCAGCGGAAACCACAGAACGCAGTGTCGGTCTAAACAATATGTAGTTCAAACATTGTGAAATCAACGAAGCGATGTCGTGACATGGAAAGGGGTGGAACTAGAACTTCTCTGCAAAGGCTCTGGCCTCTTTCCAAGGTGCGATGGTAATCAGGAGCCAGAAGGACATGGAGAAGATGTGCTGCCACCAGTAGCTGCTCTCCCGATAATGGAGAAGCATGCTGGCGGCCACCAAGAACATGAAAAAGAGCATGAAGGAAGCGAAGGATGCCTCGCTTTTGTTGCTCAAGTGCTGGACTGGTCAGTGAATGCAAGAGCTTGGGGGCATCCCAATTTCTCGAACCCACGATGTCTTCTCCATCCCAAACCCAAGTTAGAGCTTGGTTGTGACCTCCATCCACTGGTGTCACCCTGCACAGGGATCTGCATCTGTCTGCTTCCTCTTTTGGTGGGAGACATGCCTTCAAACTGTGGATGTTCCTTGTGTCTTGTGGTTCGCCTACATGAACAAACTTTCCGCTTTCCTGCTTGCACGCTGTCACGCAAGATCGATTGATCGGGCCCCCCCAGGGGTGATTCTGTCAAACGCGCCAACAGCGACTTGCTGCTTAGCAGCAACTCTTGCCGATGCAAAGAAACCACTCATCTCTTCCTGGACAGCTGAGCGGCCAACAAACGCGATTGCTCTCTCACAGAAACATCTCCTGCACCCCCAACGTCTTGTGGAAAAACATCTGAGTCACCGCTTTTGATGTACTTCGATTCCGCCATACTGCAGACTAAATCCGATTCATTTCTCTCCTCCTAAGGTCACACGATTGACTGAAACTTAGATGTACAATGATATGCAGAAAGGACTTCCAATGCACGTTTTGAGGTGATGTCCTTTCCTCTTCTGCTTACGCTTCACCACCCACGCCTCTTTGCTTGGATCATTTCCCTGATCATCCCAGAATTGGTAAAAGCAAACATTTGGAGTTATCACGGGTTTTCTCTAAATATTCCCGTACACATCCTTACACCAAGTCTAGGGCGAATCTTCCATTTCCCAAAGACAACACATCTCCCGTCCCCGTCTCCTTCATGCTCCGCATCTCCTCGTTGCGCTCCCAGCGCGGCATTCTCCGGGAGACCAAGAAGGGGCCAACCCAGGACAAGTTAACCTTGGACGATCGGCATCTAAGCTGTGGTGCGGAACCGCAGATTTTCCTCCCATGGTTTGTGGTTGAGTAGAGAAACCCCCACAATTCTGTTTCAGCTTTGCAGTGTTCAAAAAATGGCGTGATCGGATTACAAGTATGATCAAGTATGTATACTTCTGTCTACGTTCATCAGGTCCTAAGTAGGCTTGGAACGCTTGCAAATTGCAGGAAAGATTGTTGATTCATTGATACGGGTGTCCTTCGTGACTTGCTTGTGTGAGTAAACTCTCACGTGCGGTTCTGTGGAGTCGGCTTGGGCTTGAGAACGATAGCTCCAAGCACTTCACTGAGAAACAACCTTTTACATACATTTACCATGTCATAGTTTTGACTGGCTGGATGTCACTATCAAGCTTATGGAATTGGAAGTCTGTAACAAAGTCCGAGTTTGCATCACACCAGCATAATGGCACCAAAAATCAACAAGGCTACAATAACATCCCCACAAGGGCTTTCTTGCAGTGAAATGCATACAAAAAGGTTTATTTCAATTCTGAATTTCCATGTTTCTTGGGAGAGAGTAGTGACCCAAAGCTTTTGTTGACTGAATGCCAATTGACTGAATGCCGATGCCACGACTGCCCTACTAGCTGCGCTTGCTGACTGCGACTGGCCGTAATGGACGTTCCCGTCGCGTTGACACGGAGTTCCAAGCCGAAGCATGGCAGGAGGAGCCCGCAAGAAACTAAGGAAACGAAGCTGAGGAGTTTCATCTCGGCTTCGCATCCATGGATTCGGTATCAAAATGTTGGGCCACAAGTTGCTGTGGTCTTGAGCCCGTCGGCATGCCATTGAGCAGTGATGGCCGAACAGGTAGATGTCCAGTCTCCACTCCCTAGCATTCAAAAAGCAACTCACTTGGAATTGTCATAGCTCAACCTCCAGTGTCCTTGCCAACCAAATCAGTCAACCTGATCAGCAACCACATGTTCCGTATCCATTCTCATCGGACTTCCCATCAACTGAAATCACCATATAGCCACATCCCAGCGGCTATAGGGAGAAAACTGATGAGGCAGAGGGTGACGAAACACCTTTGTTGCACTAAAGCATACGATGTGCTTGAAACTTCATAGACTCATAGACCGTCTCCTCTTAGATACTAGTTTGCCGCTATTGGTTCATCCCCACCGTGCTCCGAACCATGGCTCGTCCCGCCTCACACATGGACTCTGCTGCATCCTGAAGTGAGTTGACCGGTTGCCCGGCTTGGGACATGTCAGTAATTGAATAGTACATAGTTATTTATGAGCAATTACTATGGTATGGCTCTTTCGAATGTGCTTGTTTTGCTGTATCATCCCAACATATCCCAACACATGCATGAGGAGAGAACACTATCACTAAGCTTGCGGGATCTTGCGGGTGCCAGCTTGTCCATCGATGGAGGACTTCGAAAAGGAACCCGCCGATGGCATATCCCATCACTTCTCGGGTCTCTGGACGTGCAATGGATGTTTCTTAGATGATGATACGTTGTCAAGTTGTCAAGTCAGATTCCTTCCAACCCCATATGTCCATGGTGTGACCAGCCCTGAGTGGGACTGGGATAGACTTGAGTAGACTTTGGATATGCTAGGGCCTGGTGACTTACAAAATATGGGTCTAGTGACATGCAGGGTTGGGATGGCCCACTCCTGAGTCATGTGCATGGTGAAAAAGCATGTTTACCCCCTTGGTCATTCTCCTGAATGTTTATTTTTCATGGTCGTTGGTTTTTCCTTATAAACTTGCTCCAAAAGTCCTACGGTAATTTGTAGTATTTAGGCTGATGACTTAGGACACTCGTGCTTTCTACCAGGTTCCCATTCCTTGATGACTCGGGATTCTCTAATTTCAGCGTATCTCTGACCCCTGGCCCTAACCCTCAGTACTGCCCTCAGTATATCCATCACCGTCGATACTACAGAAGCACAGGCCAGAAAAAGGGCGCAAATGCCAATAGCAAAAAAGTCCTGATTCCTGTGCTGGAAGGCTGGGTTACTGGACATTAGACATCCATAGCTGAACAAAACCATGTGTGTGTAGAGAAAACCGTTTTTTCAGGGAGTTGGAGGGGTTCCTCTCTAACTCCCTTCGGATGACTTGGGGCCTCTGCCAAGTCAGGAAATTTCTGAGCATGATCCATGGTAAACCTGCTCACCATGGTGCAGTCACCTCGAACCACCCTCGGTCCTCTAGACATTCTTCAGGCCGGACGACCGCACCTGCGAAGAAGAAACTCGAAATGGTGAATGATCGCGCGTGTGATGCAAAGAGGGAGAGAGAGAGAGAGGGGGGGGGAAGATTTGGAACATCACAGAAATGCCAAGAAGAAGTAAATGATGCTGAATGCTTCTGATATTAAATATATACTCTGATCATCTGGATCATCTAACCCATATTCTAACCGTGCTTCCCAACTGTGTATCTAAAACGTACACTGGCCGTCAGTTTGGGCTTTACCCGGAAATGTTCAACCTCTTTTCTGGGTTGCATGCCTTGAGAAGAGCGTTCCTCATGATTTTGGCAAACGGCGCCCGTGTTGGGCTGGCTCGATCTGCCTGCAAAGCAGAAAGAAATGAAATAGCGCAAGAGAAGGGTTCTCACTTCGTATGATTGATGTATCGATATGATTTCCTGATTCTCTTTGATTCTCAATGTATCATCGTGTTCATGTCCTGCAGCTTCGTCTCGGGCACATTGGAACACGGCCTTTCAAAGTAGATTCCTCCGATGAGTTCGCTGTGCTGTCCCTCAACCTCAGCCAAGATATGAGGAGAGATCAAAGAATGCCACCCCACGCGTGATGGCCATCAAGACGAAGGAAACGTAGTCTCTCCAACTGGCATGCAGTACAGTGCCCCAAATGCTGCAGAATATTGCCCCGAAAAAAGCCTGTGTCACCTAAAGGGTGCCAAATGATTATTGCACTCCCACAAACCTTGCACGGATTGCACAGAAAACGGAATGCCATTGCAACGCCCCACTTGGAAGACCCTTCCATCTAGTTTACGTTTCCTCTGTCTTCACGCACTTTCCTGCTTTCTTTTCATGTCATTCCCGTCTCTTCACGTCTAGTCAGTCTTCATCAGCTTTCCTTCTTTCGCGTGCACATCTGTTGGGACCCTAGTGTATACTGCACAATTGTGCTCAGCTACACTGAAAGTGTCTTAGGTGCCCTGGCTCATCGCTTTTCCCTGGTCATTTGGTTCCTTCTTCATCACCTCCACCTACATTGCGCACCTGTTTCTGTCCTCCTTCTGCGACACTACGCGCACACTGTTCCTTCAACCGCCCCCCTTATCGGGTGGATTCAGGTGGCGTGTTTGATTGCAACCTTTGTAGCCCTTGGGATCATAGGAAGCCTTTTGGCTGTTGTTTTTGTTTTTGTCACCTTTTCTTCAGAATGGAGGGGGGCATGTGGCCATCACGCAAACGCATGCTAACAAAGCTGATGGTGTAAGCCAGTTCTGTTCAACCTGGTGTACCTGCAATTTGTGGAGTTCACTGTAACTACGATCCACCCTAGAGTCTTGAAGGCTGTTTCGAGGTTCCGTGAGGCGTGCTCCATTAAAGGGCTAGTAGTACGCTTCGTCACGCTTGAGACTGTGAAACGTTTGAACGTCGTGGAACTCAACCTTTTGGTGTTGCAAACCTTGCAACTCCAACCATTTACTGTATATTCTTAGGCTGGATCAATACCGCGGTTTCCAGGGCTGGGCGCTGCTACAATTCGTACGCATCATATCTCCGCCTGGTGTGCTACAATCTCCGCCCCCAGGCCGGCTGGGCGCTGCTTGCAAGGCACCTGCCTGTGAGGCCTCACACGGTGCCGGCCGCGAGACAGCACACACAGGTTGCTCTTGGGTTGGTGTGTAGCAAGTAGAAACGATGAGATCCAAAAAAGGATTGCAGGAAACATGTACAACACTCCCTGAAATAATCGTGGAAGTGGACCATAGGCCCCTCGAAAACCATGTTGGGGTTCATAAACAAACAGGTGGTTTTCCGCTTCCATGTCAATGACTCGGAGAGTGTGATTTTTGTACGTCATGGGTGAGTTCCCCATGAGGTCCTACTGCTGGAAGATCTGGAAGTCACGAATCGAATATATTTAATTAACACCTGCTGGATGACCTCAACAAAGAATCCCAACGAGCGCTGCATCACAAATGATTAATATGGCTGACAGAAAAGGATAGACCGTGATAAACCTGCCAGAGATTTGTCAAATGCATTAAACTGCAACATCTCTAGTAACAAGAAGCTACTATATAGTAGCTCATAGTAGCTCCTGGCGTTTCTACTAGTAGCAAGAAGCTACTAGTAAAAAAGGGCATCGCTACTAGTAACAAGAAGCCACTATATTAATTAGTAGCTCCATCATCTCCATAAATAAGCGATGTTAGTCATCAACAGCCAACATTCGTGGGTCCTAACCCACTCTTCCGGGCACGACGGCGGGGATTCTCTCCGGTGAAAAGATGTAGCCAAACTTGTGGATGGACGTGGTGTGTTTATGGCAAAGTGATCTACGAATCTATATAACTATATATATATATAGATCATTTCCCCATATTGATTCTGATCATTAACAATGTTCTGACATGTTCGGCCCGTTCCCTGTTGTGTCGGGTTCACTCTGCGTCACTCATCTCAGTCCATGTGAGGGGCACCTGCACCGTGGAGCTGTTCGGCGAGACCGGCAAGGCCTGGCAACGATCGCCTTTTCCCGCAGTGTTGCTCTCAATGAGACATTGCTTCAAGACACTTCACCCGCTTTCACCTCTGATCGAGGCAACTCCTTTCCAGAGATCGCATACTGGCTGCACCCCGTTCCAAACCGTAGATTGAAGGCCTGCATTCGCTCTGGCGCACTGCGGTTGGCGCGGGGCGGCAGGGCACGTGGCCGGGCCTCAAGAAAGGAGGAAAAGCTTCAAGCTGCTGGGAACGTGAACATAATAAAGCAAAACCAAAGGCGGGACAGCTTATAACTACATGTGTCCAAGTTTGGGCCTACCCACACTAATCTACCTTTTCTGGTGACGCTTCACTTGATTGAGAATAGTCGCGCAGGACTTCGTGCAGGTTGGGCTTGTGTTCCAAACGCAGAACTCGAGGGCGATCATCCCGAGCACCTCTCATCTTGATCTGTTCTCTGAATTAATTAACAGTCTGTGCAGGAATGGTCGCACAAAGGCCATTCAACGGGACCTCCTTGCCTAAACCATGATGACGATGATGATGTGTCCTTAATTAGTGCCACCTTAATCAATCTCCATCTCCACCCCTCCCGAGTCTCTTCCGGCCAAAGGGCACGCGCCAGCGCGGCGTGGCGTCGGCTCTCATCATAGGATCGTTTCTGGTCCCGCTGCGCATAGGAAGACCTCCCAAACTGACGTTGATGAATGGTGTTGAGGAATGCTGGAGGCAAAGGAAGGGTGGCCCCTGATATGTGTTCACCTGCAGATCTTCGGGAAACGAATTGAACACATTGACTGGGCACCGCCTCAGGAGAACAGGCCCCCCCGGCAACCCTCTTATGGCCATGGCGGCAGGGACAGTCGCTTCAGAAGACACGGCACAAAACCCAGTTGTAGCGATCTACACTCTCACGAGCAAACGTGGGCTTGTGCCGTTGTTGTTTCCACTGCATACACTCCCGCCAAATGATCCCCTTCGACACCTCCTCTCTACGTTCGCCGAGAAACCGTTCGCCGTACCACCGATCACCACCTCTCAGCAATCCATGTCTCACTCGCTCCGTGGGGATCGCTCGAAGCAAGGCCATAAAAAACTCTAATAACACTCGGTCCCCAGTCCCCATCTGCAACTTTCAGGGGGCCTAGAGTAGTTGAAGGTGCGAAAACATCGAAGCGAATGGCATGATTTGTGGGAAGCCTCATGAAGCCACTCGTCTACCAACAAATGGACATTCCACTTCCATGTGATGTATTCATCGGAGGGGAGCGACTAATTATGAAATGTCCTTCGGCTCAAACATACACGCTCGGCCACCCGGCTTTTGGTTCTCCAAGCGCTTTAGGAGCTTTTGATTTTCATGATCGATCCGTTGGAGCCTCGGACTTCGCAAGGGATGCCACGGATTTTTTCTCGGACCGTCGTTTTCGTCTCACCGAGAAGGATTCACCAAAAGTTGGACTGTCCGATCGATGTGTCTGGTCCAACACGGTCCCCCCCCAAGGCGTCGGCTCCTTTCGGCGCTGATTCGTGTTCAGACCTCGGACATGGCGGGTTTGTGTCGAAGCGGGGGCCCGGCGAGGTGGAGCATGGCCCTGTTGGTCGAAGGACATTCCCTCCTCTTGCTTAAATTTGCTCTGCCTTCTTTTTGGCAGGGCTCATGGGGACCATCTTGGGCATCAAACCTCTTACACCCCCCCTGAGGGCAAAAAGGTGTGCTACTCCATCCAACGTTCAAGATTGCAGCTTCACATGCGCCGGGTGAAATCCCTCCAATGATTGGAAGCGGAACATGGACCTCCGGAAGGTGACTTTCCTCTACGAAGTGGATCTGTTCGGGTGGAGAGCTTCAGAAATCACGTCCCTCCACCAACGGAACGTCATCATTTTCCGCCATGCTTTCGCCGCAAGGTTCGCGGTTAGCGCGAGATTGCACATGGCGTGTGAGACAGTCCCAGCTGGGACCAGCACAAACGTCCGGAGGTAGGGTTGGAAGCTGTTAGATGGCTGATGGCAGTACTAGTGGCTCAAAAACAAAGAAGTTCAACAGGGCTATATTGTACACATGGAGCTATAAACTCAGCCATTGTTGTGCCATAGTTCTCATGCCCATGCAGGTGGAAAGCATGCCGTAAAGGGTGGAACTCAAAAGAAACATGTGAGCGCTCGCATGTGGAGACCTCCATTTCCGGAGCTGGCTTGGATAGAGGTGACACTTCATGAAACAGCGGTTCGACCCCAAAGGTCTCAGAGTTCGTTGCACTTCTTTCAACCAACTACAATACGTCTCCTATCTTCTCCTGAACGGCCTTGTTGCCTTTACAACTTCTTGCATGTCTTGCAGGTCTTTCTCCAGAACGTCCAGCAAGTTGAAGCACATCAACTCGCTTAGTTGAACTGCGCAAAGGTAGGTCAACTCTGAGGCATCACTGGTCACTCTCATTGCACCTGGCCCGTGCCACGAGGATCGGCCCCGGCCGTCACCGAACCTCACCTGACCGACGCACCGGACCGACCTCACCTGGCTGCGGAACGAGCGCCGGCTCGAGGCACCGGAGCGGACCGACCTCGCGTCGTCCTGAGGTGAGGTCGGAGGGGAGGGGGAAGGGGAGGGGCGAAGCAAAAGCATCGTCACTCCGTCACTCTGAGAGAAAATGAACATAATGAATTTGAGAAGATGATCTTCAGATCTTCCTCTGCCAAGCTATGTTAGGCCATGATAGTTTGGGAAAGGATGTTCAATGTCCACATTGCGTAATTGTCAGACAAGGAGTCTGTTGGGACATGATGAATCAGATTGAATCACCATGAATCATCTAGTCTATATACCTCAAAAATGAGAAGCCCTTGCAATTGCAAGATTCTGGTCCCATCCCAAGATGCGGTTGCGTATCTTTGGTGCTAAGGTGAGGCCTTTATATATACACATAAAGAGAGAGAGAGAGAGAGAGATACACACACATGTGAAGATGATGGTGTTTTCGGGTTGGGTGGGAAGGCACTGACATGTAAGTTTGTTTGGAGGTGCTTCTTTAAGATGCCACATACACACAGGCGCGGCGTGGGAAGGGTATATGAGGCTCGATTGCTTGCGGCATCGCTACTTTCGCTGTGTCGAATCGTTAAAGTGAATTCTTCCATCTCAGATCTCCAATAAGGAGACAAAGCATGAAGACTGTCCAATGAAAAGAGTGACATGTCCGAGTCAGATTCCACAAGACCAGATCTGGACGAAGTTTCATTAAACACTCAAACAGAACATCATTGGAAAAAAAAAAACAGGGGAAACAGTTGTATACAAATATGTGATCTCGAGGCAACACACGGATCCACCGGACAAGTATCTGCACGTGACCTTGCTTGTCCACCAGAGCTAACTTCAGTTGGAGGGGTTCAGTATACGTAGGAAGATCCAAACTGACGTAAAATGACATAAATCAATGAAAAACATCCGGGTCTCCTTTTATAACTGACTTTCCCCACAGCTGTCTTGGCGGCCAATGCCCTGCGCATGCACGTACTGTCCTCCAAGCGCAGTGTTGGTGCAGACATCTGGTTCTGCAGCACACCCTGTGCTGCTACCTTGGCCATCAAATTGTTCACTGAACCTCCAATCTTTTTTCCAAATACGGCTCACTTTCGATCCATCCATTTTGCGATCAAGGAGACTGCACCCGTGGGATATGCGTCATCAACTCTTCAAATCACTGCTTCTGTGCTGGACAAATGCGACACCACGCAACACGGACCGCACGTGCAACCAGACCGGCGCAAGGCCTTGGGCCATCTTTGGTCCGTGAGCAAGGGCTCAGGCCCTTGCCATAAATCCGTGTTTGGGACCTGCAACTCTTGATGGACCTTTCAAACGACCAGTTCTTGAGATTCTAGAACATGTCGTCCATGGGGACCACTGGGATCAAGCGGCTGCTAGGCTTCAAAAACCGAGCAAAAAACCGAGCGCCGAGGCTGCAGTTGAACTACGCCCCCTTGAACTGGCCTCAGGCCCGCTTGGCACTTGCAGAGGGCACCACGCATGCAGGCTGAAAGGTGCGAAAAGCACATCCGCTTCAAGGCATCCCACACTGGTGTTTTGCAGGGGCACGAAGTCGTAGCTTTCTTGGCGTTATCTGATGTTGTCTCTACCACACTGCAAAAAGTCTTGACCCATGCCATCCCATAAGCACATATCGAGATAAAGCGATGTCCACAAGTCTCTGCAGCTCCTTCCATTTACCATCGGCCTGGGGCTCCTCACTCGGCTACGCGTGCTACGCGCTGGCTCGGGGTACCCCGGCTCCACCAGCCACTGCGGAGTAGTCATCTGGCGTTCGACGGAATGCCAACATGACGGAGAATCACTAGCCTGTAAAGGGAACTTTTGAAAGACTCGTCGAGTTGTGTATATATCTATTCCGAGATGGCTACCACATGGAATCTCAAATTGCCAGGAGAGCTGACAAAAGGAAGGAACCGGGCAACCAGGGAAAACCAAAACAAGTGGCCGCGGCACTATCACCTCCAACCTTGACATGGGTCGAACAGTCCAACATTTGTATATATAGATCATCTCATTGTATCTCATTGTCCCAATCCATACTAGCAGCTACTAGCAGCTGCTTATTTTTGGGGAGGTCAACCAGGTTAACCAGGCACGCAAAGCGCTTTTCATTGACCGTTTATAAAGAAGGTCGAGCAGCTTGCCTAAGAGTCAAAGTGTTATGTCTTTCATCAAAGCGTGTGACGGCACGACTCGGCACGTGCACGAGAACCGGTGTAACATGAGTACAGCAGCTCCACAAATATCACAGATTCATGCAGACTACTAAATTACTAAAAGTAACCCCACAAGCACCCCAGGGAGCGCCACAAACACCCAAACCCTTCATCCCCCTTGGCCTGCCCTTGGGCACCACTCTTCGGCCGTGGTTCGAGGGACATGCTCGCACTATTCGCCTGCCCGCAGTCGCCGGGCCCCCCAGTCACGACCGGGCGCTCCGCCACACAAAGGGTGTCAATGACCGGTGGCGAAAACCAATGGAAAAAAAAAAACGAAACGTATCCAGAGGTTCATTGAAGAACCATCAACACCAAAAGAAAGGAAGAAAATCAACATTTGGGATGGGCTGTGGTGAGGTCTGAGGGAAAGTTCCTTTGAAGGTTCACCGGCCTAAGCTGGGACATGATGCTGGGTCTATCTTACCACCAAAGGACATTCCAGTGGGGTGACCATGCTAGAGATTCAACAAAAGTTGGGCAAAGGAAAGGATGAAGCAGCCAAACCCTGCCTTGACCACTGTCGACATGGGCTTGGCCACATTGTTATGGAAGCTGCACCTGTGTAAGCTCAAAAGTGCCACTAGTTGACCATGCCCACTTCTGGCATTCAACATTCAAACTCCTTCGAACAAGCTTTGATCCGGCAGGGGTCAAAGACTGTGGCGTGCGATCTGGTCTGGTTGGGCCAGAGCCACGATGAGCCGATGTAGCAAGCAATGGTTCAACGCAGTTTGATCCACATCCAGCTAGGACTCATCAACCGTACGCTAGAAGAACAAAATTTGACCAACAGCATCCCACTGGTTGTATACAATATACATATATATATATATATATGCCACACCGTTATACATCTTCCAGCGTGTGAACTTAAAAAAAGAAAGTGCCAAGGCACTTCCCAGCCGCGGTGCTGGTGGTATGGTGTAACACCTGCAAGTCATACTCAGCCGGCGGTGCTTCGACCGTGCGCATCGGATGATTCGGATGTGCTTTTCGTGCTCTTCTTTTGGGGGCACCTATGCTCGTCCGGATTGCAATTCAACAATGACAGATTGAAATGTTAACAGCACATAAATGTATACCGTGCGTCCCGGTTGCACCGGCCATTCAGAGGATGCGCAACCCCGAACATGATATTCCTACAGGGACGCTGTGTGCGATTCAGAATGGGGCTGCTTGATGGCTTCGGGACTGTTGATTCCTTAGTGTTCGTGGCGTTCCCTGATCATTGACCAATGACCTCGTAAGTCTGACCATGAGGCGTTTGTGACCATGCGCTCCACACCCTGCGAGTGTGGAGGTGCTGCAACCACCTCACGGCCTGTCATGCGTTGGGGACGAACTGCCGAGCCTGCCATGTCCGGCCCAGAAAGTCATTGGAGGTGGTGTTGATGTAGGCGTAGCTGGCCTCGAGGGGAGGAGGTCCGACAGTTGAAGGGAGTCTATCTTTTGCTTAAATGGGCAGCCGCGGTGAAGCCCCACGGGTGGTATCACACGGAACCCACAAGCGGCTGAGACGGAAAAGAACTCGCCAACTTATGGTTCGAATTGAATGCCTCAGTGATGTGCTGCAAACACGCCAAGAAACCGGCAGTTGCCTCTAGGCTTAAGGATGGTGCCAAAAAAACACTGGCAAATTCTATCAAATTCTTACATATCAGGCTCAACCACATGTTTTGCCTGTGAAATCCACCCACACCAAGCCACCACCGACACCCGACACCTAAAAGCTCTCCGCAGGCGGCCTTCGGAAAGGGCTCGTTGAGCACGCTGAAGGCATGGTCCCGCTGGGCCCGCTCGAGACCTGCCACTTCACTTGGCTCGCTCGACCCGAGTCGCGCGGGCCTCCACATCAGGGTGGGGCCTTTGGTCGATATGAGCATCAGGGTGGTGGATCACATCCTGAACAGGAACCTATGAACCAATGACCTCCGAGTCGGTCCCGGACCATGTCCCGAGCTGCCATTTCACGGACACCTGTTCAGGCCACAAAGACTGCAAACGAGGAATCTGGGCATTTGGCAAGTCATTCAGTCAATAATTAGATGCCACATGATGCCACTAATTATTTGGATCGAATCCAGTCGTATGTTGTTGCTTTATCAACTATATAAATATATATTATATCTATTTATATATCTATATATCTTCCATATCCTTCACATCGGACATATTTCACGAAGCGATGAAGCTCCTACAAGAAAAGCCAGAGAACTCCACCCACCTTCTCTCCAGTACTTGTCTTGCAGCACTGGTGTTGCAGTGGAGTGGCTATAGTTTGCAACCTGAGCATCTTGAGATGCAAAGGCCATATCTCAGCCAGTCAATTGGTGACACCCCAAAGGCCACCTCCCTACTCTACCCCCAAAAAGGTGCATCTCAAAGACTCCGGGATCCCAATCACTGTGGCGAGACATCGCTGAACACATCGAGCATCATCAAGCTGTTCGGGCCACCGTCGGCCCATCATGACCATCCCACATCGAGAGGTTTGGATGGAGGCTTTTGAGGCTCCTTTCTTAAACCATCTTTGCTTATTAAGATCCACCCAGTTTGACTTAGCTCCGGTGTGCTTCGGTGTCCCTGTCCGGCACTCCACCCGAGCTCGAACCCCAATCTGTGCTCCACAAAGGCACGCCCACACGAGCCATGGCCGCCCTGGAGTGTGACAATTGCACCACATGCTTTTGGGGTAATGCTTCTGCTCCTCTTCTCTTGAAAAGACTCTAGCTTCCAAGCAGGCTACAAGATCTACAAGTATAGGTTGAAATCATGAGAGGTTCTGTTCACTTCCAGCTTCCCACCCAGGTTAAGGATCAAGACGAACTGGCAGGCGACATCTGCTCATATTCTCTAAAGATTGGTCACGTTGTTTCCGGGAGCAACCAGCAAAACACTCTCCACTCCCTGGCATCTAAAAGGGTGATCTTAGATCCACTGCAAAATCCCAAAGGAATCAAAGGGACCTTCGCCTCTGTCAAAGAAGTCCAGTGCTGACCTCACTTGCCTAAGCACTTAGGACCAAATCACCAGGTCACTTGTATCATCTCGGATGATAAAAAACAAACCTGTTAACCCCCACACCAGACTCGGGTGGCTCAGTATTGTCAATTGGTTGGAAGACAGGGGTCTGCCCAAAAATGTCATGATTTGCAGCAGGGCTCGCGACATCTTGTGCAACATGTGCAAAGTAGCTGCAGGGAACGTTCTCCACATTGGGGGAGGCCATGTATATGTACAGTAATTATGTCTTATACTATGTCTTATATATTATATATGTAATATATTTATAAGTGCCAAAGTTGCCAAAGGAGGGTTGCATCCACAGTTCATGATGCTGTGTTGTTTTGCTCGAGCTGCTCGGATCTATATTTTGGGGTGGACAGTCCCAGGCCCCGGGCTACCTGCACCCATCAATTGAATCCCTGCACTGACCAACCCTCCGGAGACTCGAAAACAACATCCCCGCCTTGCAAAGCCCCGCGGCCGAACGTTCTAAAAGCGCCCCAAAAACAGCGCGCATCGAAACGTGACACCGGACAAGGACACATGCTCCGTTCTTCCAGGTACACGTGTGAAGCATGGGGCGTTAAGTGCCTTCAACTGCAGCGTGGGCGTTCCTCTCACGGTGATTTCGATCATTTATTTCGCAGCGTGCACTGATTATCTGTTTGGGCAGATGGAGGCCTGACTTTTGTTGCACGTCAACCAAGTCGACATAGGCCCAGGCCCATGATGATCCGTGTCAATTCCAGGAACGACTGCTGCAACATGGGCCAGTTCACTCGTCAGGCCCAATCTCACCCTGTAGAGTCTAGAGACTTTCGTTGATCCTTTTTGGGCATTCCCACTGGATGCACTCCCAGCTTCATCCTGACGTCTCAAATGCACTTCGGGCCGCCCTGCTCATTGGCCCTTTCCGCTCAAGCACCGAGAGGGAGGGTGGACGTGCCTCAAAACGGCGGCCGACACCGGAGAAGCGGCTCGAGCTTCACATCATCCGCCAGAGAAGACAGGTACAACACCAACCTTGTGCAATTATTAGTCTAATATAGTCTAGTCTAGCAATAAGCTCAATGTAGCTAAATTCATACCATCATCACTGACCATCTCATCCATAAAAAGCTGTGAAAAAACGCCACTTCTCGGGAGGGCCCCGTGCCATCTCCCGTGCGATGTTCTCGATCATCCGCAGGTCGCTCACAGCCGCCTCGGCCTTGGCAGGCGGCTGTCCGTTCGCACGGAGAAGCCCGGAGAAGCCTGGTGTTTTCGACCAATGGGGAACCTGGTCCAGGCTTAAGATCCGACAAGCTGCTATGGCAAGTAAAACGTTATAAGCAATATAGATGCGATAAGAATATAGAAAGTTCTCCAGAAATGGTTTGGCCGAGGCAGAAATGGTACAAGTATGGCGGCTGACGGATTGGAAGACCACATTTCTCTTCGCGTGACATCGTCAAAGCTAGTCTGACATCATCAAAGCTAGTCTATCTGGCTGGCACTCCAACCACTTGGATTGGGTCCTTTGCTCAAGCCCAAAAAAAAGCCATCCCTTGCTCATTTGCTGGTCCCTAAGTCCCAGTCACTCATCTCTGGATGTAACTTGTCATTCCTGCTCCTGTCAACCCTCCCCATCCACGGATGAGTCAAATTCTTCCACGCCTGGGCTTCTTTTCGAGCCTGGCTCGCTGGGAATGAGGAACTCCACAGCGAAAGATCATGAAAGATCCATCGCAAAGACTCCCATATATCAAAACTGATGCATTTTGCCACATGGCGCGAGGCCATTCCCTCGAGGCCCATGTCGAGCCCAAAGGGACGCTGCTTTGACCAACAGGGACTGAACCCTTCCACTGAGGCCAGCCACCCGCGAGGCCGGTGCTCTTGGTCGAGGTCGCGATGCGGCCTAGCTCTCCGGACCGAGTTTTCGCACAATGAGCGAGCAACATGGACTGTCAATGAGTCATGGTCATTGTGTGAAGCTGTGGAACTCAATTTGTGGATATTTTTTTCATCAACTCAACTCATTCTTGTTGATTGAAACTGTGCAGCATGTCACAAAACTCACTCCAAATTCCACGGAAGTTTCCACGGCGCCCATTCGCCGCCGTCCTTGGGGGGTCCGGCGTCCACGGTGGCCTTGACATGAACCTCAGCATGGGACGGTCAACACTGGCAGGAGAATTACGGTACATACACAGCGGGGCAGCTTTGACCCAAACCACTGACTAACCCCAGGATGAAACTGCAGATTCTTCGGGACACCCCTCTTTGAAGTGCAGCAGTCTCCACCAAACGATTTCTGGCTCAAAGCTTGATCCAGGGTTGATTGAGCAACCACGGAAGCTTGAGGAAGTATATATCGCCATTCAGTTCGGTGGCTTGTGCCCTGCTCTCTACAGCCAGCTCTCCTCGCTGAATTTCAACAGCACATTCGACTAGCTGCTAGCAACATCCCCTAAACCAACCTGAAACAAATAGTAAATAGTGTGACGTCATGGGACTTCTTGATTGCTTGGCGTCTTTTCATAGAGCACTGGAATCTCTTCCCCAGGGTTGCTGTCGACCTCGCAACCCTTGGCGACCAGTTCTGGGGCCAAAGGCCGCTCTCTGCTCGTACCTGTGTGGGAATCGCTGCTAGCCATGCAGTGAGATAGTGAGGGACAGTCCGGGAGGGGCTGGCTATGCACTCGCATTTGGATCCTCAATGACACAGTATCGGTGTGCCTCAACGAGCGAGAGAACCCCAAAGTGGCCCAAAGAAAAGGAAAGAAGATGAAAGAATACGTGCTGATGAAAGAAGATGTAAAAGCACATCTGTGTGAAACCAGGTCATCAGGCGCACTGCAGGGCAGGCATGAGGAGCCCTGGAGTCCGGGAGGCGGTAAAGCATACCAGGGAGTAGGGGCTTCATGGAATTTTGTGGGGTGGAAGCCCAATCAGCTGCAAGCCCACTAGGGCTAGGAGTCCCTTCTATCCCGTCGATTGAAAGTGACCAAGGCAGTTGCGAGGCAAATAAGTGACAACCTTAGTTTGAAATAGGACAAACTGCATCGATCGGAAAATGATGACAAGTCCATCAGGGGGATCTTAGAATGTTTGAGGTAGGGATAGCATTCAATATTTAAAAGTTCTGGGGGGAGGTTGACATACTTTCAACAAATATCGACGTCCGAGAAAATTTGAACCGTCAGTAAGTTAACGAAATTATGGGGAGACATCAAACATGATACATGCAGAACCATATTATGACGAGTATTATGACGAAAAGCTCCGCCAAGAAGAACAAAGGGCTACGAGTTGCTCAAAGTATTTTAAAGCACTGTGCAAGTCAACAAATGCAATTCCTCGTGGCATTCTAGATTTTATATAGCTGTTTACAAAGCCCAACACCCCCAGCTGTCTCGAGACGCCATCGCCAGGAACAGTAAATGATTTCAAGGCGCAAACCACAAACCCGTGTGCGGACAAGAACCATTGCGGCAACATACCAAACAGTAACGCTACACTGTACAAGCCCACCCCACCTACAAACCTCACTACACCGCACCCCAGGCAGAAGCACGAGCAACAGCTCAAACCAACCAAAAGCATCCAAAAGCGCCAAAGACCAACAAAACCTAACCCCAAACACAACGTTCAACATCCTTAACATCGAATATGTCCAAACCCCCCTGGTTGATGGACGGGAGTCTCTTGTGTCTGTCTCTCTCTCTCTCTCTCTTCATTACATCTTCGAGATGCACTGAATCCCTTCGTGAGAAGGTTGTGATCCTTCGTGCGCTGGACAGGTGGCTCCAACTTGGTTTCCTCCATCAAATGTCCTCTTCAACCAGTTGGAACTGTCCGACATATTCTCTTTACAAGGTGGGCTCAATCATGCACAACTGTCGACTGCGGCCCCGGAGCACCAAGATGCGCCGATCTTACGAGCAGCGCCAGCCACGAGCCCAAAGCCCAACAGAAACATACCAAGGGCCCAAGAGGTCACCAACGGACTACCGTAAACAGCTGTAAACTACTTCGACTCCCAAGTAAATATGTTTGTGTAAAATGGTTGTAGAAGTTACTTTTAAATTGAATTATATAATATTATATATAGTGTGTGTGTGTGTACATTTGTGCGTGTGATATAGAGACTCCATGACAATGCCTTGGAGGGTCCTGATCACCTTTAATGGCCGTTTTCCCTACTACAAATACCTACACAAATATTACTAACCTGATCATACTCAACACCTCACAAACGCTTCGCAAGCGAATCCCTGAGCAAACCAACCTCCTCTAACGTCGTCTGGAGCGCTACGAGTGGCATGGTTCGAGCCCGAAACATAGTGGAGCAATTCTGGGAAGGCATGTTGTGAAAGGTGCCCCCACTGACTTTCTGGGCCCGGTTGCCACATGTGCATTGCTCTGATTGAAGAGATCCACTCCTGGGCGAGGGAAAACAATGCCAATTCTTTGAAGATGCCTTCCGTCAATAGGACCACGCTGCCCAGCTCTGTTTTCCTATTCCTGCCCAGTTGGATAACCTGACTTGGTCGGACCGCCGCTTTCGGCGCTACTGGCGCCGGCCACCACGGACGGCCGCTCCCTGGGAATAACACGTGCATGATTCTTGCTATTCCTATGAGATGCTTTGGAGTTGAGATTCAAACCTAGAACTTCTGCGGCCTCGGACATGGTAAGCTGGCTCAGCCGGTAGATGGAATCCCTCCCTGTCGCTTGTGCCAAGTACTGCCACTTGCGCACATCCAGAAGCAGGTCTTGACGATCTGGCAACTCCAAAAGAACTGATGCACACTTGAAATGGACGACGCGTTCACCCAGAAGCTCCATCACTTCCCCTTGCATGAGTGAGCCCTTCTGAACGTTGCCCAGGTCCTCACCACAGGTCTTGCACAGCACCTGGGACAGCTTGAAAGACGTGCCCGCAGCGTCCGGGTGTGGAGAAATCACCTCGCAGTTCAGAAGGGAAGCCTCTCGACCGACACAAAAAAAGGTGGGTGCTTCATCAAACCGCCCCGGCGAAACATGGTCCCTTCGGTGTCGGATGCCTTCCACCAGAAGGACATCGACCAAGGGTTCACAGGTTTCCCGGCAAGCTTGGCAGCGCAGCCATCCTTTTCCTGGGTCACTCGGCTGTTTGATGGCCGAAACATTGTCCAAGCGCATCCGCAACTCACGGCCTCTCAGCGGCGGCAGCGACATCTGCAAAAGCTCCTCTGCCTGGTCGGGATCAGTAGTAGTGATCCACCCATAGCAGTTGGACTGGCCATTGGGCCGTCGTGCAATCTTCACTTGGAAGGGCCACGAAACGCCAGCAGCTAGGAGATGCTCCTGTAGCTGGGCCTCTTGAACTGAACGGTCCAAGTTGGACACATGGATCTGTACCTCTTGATTCACGACCGTGACCTGTCCGAAGCGTCGCTTGCACTCAATGCTGGTACCATCACTGGAAGTGTCATTGGCACGCAGAAACTTCCGGATCACATCCTGCTCCGAACCATCGTCCATCCGCAGGCCTCCTGAGGGGGATGCTTCGCATCCGCACTCCGCACCACTAAAAACTATTTGGATGCGAATGGCTCATCTGTCCGAAACAACTGCGAGCAACAATGGATAAATGTTTCATGACTCAATGCACCTCCTAAAACTAACCGCTGGCCTGCAATCTTGCCAGGTGTGTTTTTTTTCCAAGTCCGTCTGCAGGATGCTAAAGGTAGCAAAATGTAGACAGTTTGAACACTATATATGAACATCTATGAACTAATATGCCAAGAAAATAATCTAAATCAATCTGAATCACCTTGAACCGCATGAAGACTGCATGCGTGGAGCTTCTGGCAAATGATTGCCAACTTTTTAGAGCATGACCTGTTCAAATTAGGGGTCACTCCCATGCAAATGCCTGCCAAGTGTCTCAGTAACGGCCAAACCCGCACACAACATTTCTTGGGCAGCTCATTGCGTCTTGCCATCCTGCTGGCATACTGGACAATGGCGGTGAGGTGACGATTATTTAAGGAGCGGTACGCGCCATGGAAGTAGACCACGTTCAAAACCACCGAAGGGTCGCTGAAGGAGATCGCTCCTGACAGCAGTTGATCGGTGAGCCACTCGATTCGTTGCCCGGCGTGAGGCCCATTTAGGAACCTCTTGCTGTGCATCTCTTGCGTGAAGCGAATTCGATCAATCGACATCTGGATAGGCTCACAAGGCGGGGGCGAACATCGTTGCAGCAAACCTTCACGGAGGGATTGATGGCACGGATGGCTCGCATCTGTCCATTTCTCTGCAGCTTCGGAGATCAATCGGAGAACCTTGCAGCCCTCGTGTTCATCTCGCCGGCACTCCTGGCATCGCAGCATGCCTTCAGCTTGCTTCAGTGCATTGTACGAGCGACGGTCCAGGCCATACAGGTGCAAACAATGGGAGAGCTCTCGCAATGCATTCGCGTACTGGTCGAGGCGATATTCGCATTGCTTCAAGGTACGTTCGGGAAGACACTCCGCACTCGCTTGCTCCCTGAGACCTGAGAGATTTCTCGCCCGAGGGCGGCCCCCACGCAGCTCTATGTCAAAAAGGACCTCTGTACCAACTGGTATGGTCATGATGTCTAGCTTTTGGAGCTCTTGCCCACTCAAGTACACATCGCGACCAAACTGATGATAAGCCTCACTGCACTCGATAAAACCATACCCATTTCCAGGCTGGTACGACTTGATTCGACCAGTCCACCGAGGAACATGCAGTGGACCCGACATTGCTTGCCTGTCGCGGCTGGTCCTTGCTTTTCAAGTCGGACCTGAAAAGGGATATCATATATATATTATATAATATATATATATATAATCATTTGGTTGTGTGTCTGCGGATGCACTCGGGCTGCTGTATATAACGCACGAGACAGGCATCTCTTGTAGTCATGTCATGGTTTTAAACCGTCCACTTCGTTATCAAATCAGGCACCCAATTTAGCTGACCGACCATGAAGCATCAGCTTCTGATCAGCTGAGCTCAAAGTTGCTGCACGGTCACTTCCGACACCGTGACCTTGATGGTCCCACACACACACACACAATTGGCCTTCTTAAGTTGATCAATATGATCTATAAGATTCTATAAGTATGTTTCAGTCAGGCAGTGCGTAGCTCTGCCCTTCTGTCTGGACTCTCCTTTTGATTTTAGAGAGGGATCCTCTTTCCACATGGGTCCTTGATGTCGATTAATCCGAAATTTGTTAAGAATTCATGAGAATTCACTGTCGAGGAATCGGGATGAATCGGGGGCATCTGGCTGGAGCCAACTCCATAGGCCGCTGCAACAACCAGACCCATGGAAAATATGAGCACTCCCTATAGGACTAGGAACACCTGTGAACAAGCAATAATATTATTCTGTTTCGCGTAGATGTGTCGAAGCCACGAAGCATCGGCTGAAGCATCGACTGAAGCGACTTGTCAAAGCTCATTTTCTGCACGCGCATCGTCTGTGCGCCCCTTGGGGCAGGACTCGCCAGATTTGGTGGCAGCATACGATGGCCAGAAGTGGAGACTTGTCCTCGATGTTTCAATTGGATGTATATTGGATGTCAAAGGTGAATCTGATGATGGAGCTAAAGGCCGTGATAATCAGGTCAAATTGTTGTCGTTGAGGGTTGACCTGAATTGAACGGAGTCACTGGGGTCGAATACGACCTTCTCACTGCAGTCCGTGATGCTCATGGATTCTGCGGAATCCAGTTTTCGCAAACCGAACAAACACACAGTCAGTAAGCAGTGGCGTTATAACCATGGCTGTTGATGAGTAGACTCAGTGTAGACTTGCCGCAGAAAAACGGGTCTGTTTGGCGATCAGTGACATCATGGACACGTGGAACTGCGCCTGGCAACATCGGCACCCTTGGTTTCTACCAACTGGGGTCAACAAAAAGGCTACAGAGCTTGCAAATTGTTTGGATCTGGTCGATTGTGGGACACTTGGGGCATCTGAATCGTTCCAATTCTCTTGACAAATGATTCACATGTTCAAAATATTGCAAGGGGGGTTGGAGGCCCTGTGCATGAACAGCAAGACAACAGCATGGAGACTCGTGCTGAGCCACATTCCAATCATGGCAATTCAGATGAAAGATGATGAAAGTATTCCTTTCTTGTTTCTGGATGTGTCACGACGGGCGCCCAGAGCCTCCCAGGAGTGAGTCGACGCTCGTTGGTGCTTTAGAGAGTCGTTGGTGCTGGCATGTTGGTCTTCTACGGGTCATGCATGATCCCTCGAGGTCCTTCAGCAGAATCCGATAGCAACAAAACCTGTGGCAGAGAAAAAACGGATGATGTCTACAGTGCTCCTTGATGGTTTGAGCGCTGGCCGGCTGGCCGCCTTCTTGTTCCATTTCGCATGGAGCGAAAAACATCCGACGCAGCGGTCGACTGGCGTTGAAGCTCTCTGTAGCCCTCCCTCCCACTGTTGGCGTCTGGCTGCTCTTTGTGGCGCGCTCTTTTTTGAGTGATGTTGTAGGGATTACTTAGAAGGGACCTTTGCTTTCTCACTTTGCGATTTGCCGCACCATATGGATGATAGATGATGATAGGGTTTTAAAGGTTTGCAAATTACAGTGACGATATTTAACGTTTAACATCGTTTAACCATCTCTTGTTTTGGCATCTACTCTTTCGTCTCGACGGTGTCTGCACGACCCATGTGCACCTACTTCGGCTTGTGCATGCTCCACTGCCTCCGATAAAAAGCATACAGTCTCGGACCACCAATTGCTGGAACTGGTCGTTGGGCCGCGGTATTCTTTGGGGCTTGCTGCAGTAGCTCATCCATCAACGCTCCAATGGCTAAAAATGCTTGAACATCATTTAAAAACACGGTAATTACCCAGAAGGTTGCAATTCTGTGCGCTTCTACCATATCCAATCAGGGGTCAGTCATGATTTCACGAGTGCCGAAACCTAACCAGAACGCTCCAGTTCCTTACGGCCTCTTCCACTTGATTTTGATCAAATATTTGCGGAAGCCCACACTGCCATCCGCACACTTGTCATTCCCAGCTCTTCATAAACGAACCAAGCCCCTGTTCAGATCACACCAGGTGAATCTTTGGTGTGTTCCATGTAAATCTCAGCCCGTGTCTAGTTCTTGCCATGTTCCCATGTCTAATTCTTGCCATGTAAATCTGATTTCACATCTCAGGCTCACGCTTCAGGCTCCACTGCCTGAAGCTCGGAAGACTTGCAACACCCCAGGAGTTCGAAGGCCATGGTGAAATTCGTGCGGCTCATGTTCATCTGATCGGCTGTTCATGGTTCCTTGTTTGGGCTTGTTTGGAGCAATCTTGAAAAAAATGTGATGACTATGCATTTGTGGACCTTGGCTCTAGCTTTTGAAAGAACGTGCAGATCCGTGCCGCACGGAAGGCCCATGTCAGTTATCCAAAACTCCGAGAAATCAACAACGTAGACATATTCACATGGCAAGGACAGCAGGGATGTTCACGTGTGGCCTTGGGTGCTCCATTGTGCCCCTGTTGCCCCAAGTCGGGAAAGTTCACTCCAAGCTTGATCGAATCCAAGCTCCACACTCTAAGAGGTACAGGAGGTACACGAAAAGCATCAGAAAGACCTGCAAATGTATGTTCTTCCAGCCTGACTTTTTTCATTTGCGTCCGCCCACCAAATGTTTCGATATTGCATGTAGCATAAGAATAAAACATAAAGTATATATCATTTAATTGTCATTACGTATATATCTGTATGTGGGTATGGTATGTATATATATATGTGTGTGTGTGTGTTATATAACAATTGTCCTCTTTCCTTTGGCCCAGTCCATCTTGCCCTGCAGCTGATTGGCTGATTGTATATTACTATATTATAGTGATTCTGGGCTATGCGTATTTGAGGGGATCTCAATTGAATGAAGTGCAACAATTCGTTTGGATTGAAGGTAGTATGCACAAGAGACATTAAAAGCAATGCCGTTCCCATGGGTACACCAACCTTGTGCAAAAACTGACTGAATTGTCACGCAAAAGTTGGGATAAGATGGGATAAGCTACTTCACTCTTCGCAAATTTGTTGGCTCATATGTGGCTCAAGCAAACATGGGCCACTGCACTGCAACTTTGGTTTTGAGGTCGTGCGTCAAACTGAGGTTCACACCACAACTGCTGCGCCGATGACCACTTTGGGGGGAGGCCTGAGGCATGACCAGCGTCTGGTGCATCAATCATTACATCATAAACCTAAAAGGATCAACTTCCCGGATTTTAACAGCATGGATGTTCTCCTCTTGGCCAGCTGTCCGAGTGAGCTCGCGGCTAGCAGTGTCACGATCTTCTTTTCTTCCTGCTCTTGCTTGTCCTGCCACATGCAGGAACAAGACGCATAAAGTCGCAGCACGTGAACATCCGCGCCAAAATGCAAAAACCCTTGGGCGTCCCATGGGCAAGTCTTCTGGCTCGGAACAACACCCCCTCAACACCCTCGCTGTGACCTTCCAAGCGACTCAGAAGACCGGTCGTACACTGCACAGGTTTGTTGGGCTCGAAACGCGTGAAAGAGTCCAGCAATGTCCAGCAACCCCATCAAATAAGATCCTTGATGATAATGTATCATAATGCACGCGATCACAGTAGGCAAAGTGGGTCGAAAATCCCTGAGGGTTCTGCCGTCCATTGCGGAACCTCTTTGGTCATCGGTCATGTCGATGTATCAACCAGAGCGAGTGTTTAAAAAAAGAAACACGTATGGTGTAATAACATGTAGTGACTTGACTGAATCAATCTTTGTGTGTGTGGGGGACCACCCGTATTCTAAATAAGAACTAAATTCATCGGACGTCCGACGTGCCGACGTGGCACGTCGGAAAAGCAATGCAAGAGAACAACTGCACGATGCAAGCAGGACAATTCCAGCTCCCAACATGCCAATCCTCTGAGACCGTCATGTCAACCCTCCAAATGGGAGAATTCACAAAGGAACCCATGAAGTATCACAACATCATGACCTTTTGAATCAAATCACGAATGGCTCGCCTTCTTAAGCCCAGGACACGCTCTCTTCCCCCGCAGGTCGCGCTTTGGAGCTTCTCAGCTTCGGCTTCTCGAAAGGAGATTTCAAGACTTCCGAGGCCGAAGCAGGAGCCACGTCTTCCCAAGACCAACACGTCTTGCTGCAGCTCCGGGTGAAGCATCCCAAAGGAACAACGTTGTACCCTTTGTGCTGCAGAGGCTAGTTACTTTTACAGTACACTCCCCGAAACAATCATGGAAGTAGAAAATGGTCCCTTGAATGACCATCGACTCTACAAACACATGGTTTTCCACTTCCCTGATTTTTTCAAGGAGTGGTTGACCCAACATCCCTCCACAGCACGGGGTCCCCCATCCCTCGAGTCCGGTTAATTCCGCGTGCATCCACATGCCGCAAATCTCTGGACGATGTGGGGAGATCGGCCGAAGCACAGGCGAACACCAACGACGGCTGGTAAAGACTCGAAATGAAGTACCACCCTCTCATGTTGGAGCTACCTTGCACATGTGTTGGAGTTTTGGATATGATCTCTATGTAGCTTGAACTCTTGGGCCAAGGGCCATGCGCTTCTTTGGCAGGATGTGTTTCACAACTCTTCCGATCCGCCCCGCCAGAGTCTGGACGAATTCGTCGTCTGAAGAGGCTCGAGCCTCTCCCGAGCCTTTGCACGCTCCCCAGACCATGAACCAATCAGAAATGTCACCAGGTGGTTTCATGTGGTTCTTCCATTACCCATGCAGTGCGGCTCAACATCATGGCAACCGTG